AAATGTGGTGGATCTTGTATGATTATAGCTCAACATCATTTATTTATTTTACAAAAGTCTTTTTCTTCATTTATAAATTTTCTAAGATGCTACCAACCTGTATTCTTTTGTTTTAATGTATATTTTTATTGATTTCAGAGAGGAAAGGAGAGGGAGAGGTAGAAATATCAATTGATCAGCTACCTCCTGCATGCCCCCTACTGGGGATTGAGCCTGCAACCCACGCATTTGCCCTTGACCAGAATTAAACCTGGGACCCTTCAATCCGCAGGCTGATGGTCTAGCTACTGAGCCAAACCAGCTAGGGCCCAACCTGTATTCTTTGAAGGACTTGGCAAGTTTTATATTTTTGATGATTATAGCAAATTGTTTAGTGTTAGTATTTTAAAAAAAGTAATAAGTATACAAAAGAAATATAAAAAGACCATTTATACATAATTAATTGATATGGTGATTTCAGATCATTTAAAAAAATATTTTTGTTGATTTCAGAGCGGCAGGGAGAGATAGAACCATTAATGATGAGAGCAAATCGTTGATTGACTGTCTCCTGCACACCCACACTGGGGATCGAGCCAGTAACCGGGGCCCATGTGCCTTGACTGGGAGTTGAACTGTGACCTCCTGATTTATGGATAGATGCTCAACCATTGAGCCATGCCGGGTGGACTCAGATCATTCTTACTAGTTATTAAAATAGTTCCCAAAGGATCTTCACGGACAGTGTCCTGGTTTGAAACAAAATGATTATGTATGTTTTCTTTTTTCCTAGTCACTCCTTTCTTTTTTTCACAGCATCATTTGTCTTTAGGTTTACAGCCAATTTTGTCTTTACTCTTTTATTCTCAGGCAGTATATAGAAATGACATGTAATGTTGTGCTCTTCTTTAGTTACTTATAGCTCTTTTAATTCTGTTCTACATTGTATTTTTTTCTGTATATACACACTTTAAAAAAAAATTTTCTTTCCTGTTATTTTACTTATTCTTCTAGAATATCCCATTGTCTTCAGTTAGTTTATTAGTATTAATCACTTCAAGGAAAGTGTAGAAATCTTGGTTCTTCTCTATATTCTTTATGCTAATCTTGTTTTATGTATTTCAGCTACATAATTATAAACTCAACATTCAGTTTCATAATTTTCACTTTAACCAGTCATATGTATTTTAAAGAATCTTAAGAGCAATAATAGTTTTTAAATTTATCCACATAGTTACTATGTTACACACAGCTTAATTGTTTACTTTGAAAAAATCCCAAACAGTCTACAAAAGGACTCCCTGAACTAATAAATAAGTTTTACAAAGTTGCAGGATAAAAGATCAATATGCAAAAATCGATTGTATTTTTATTTGTCATCAGTGAATAAGTAGAGTTTATGTTTTAAGCTGAAACCGGTTTGGCTCAGTGAATTGAGCGTCGGTCTGCAGACTGAAGAGTCCCAGGTTCGATTCCGGTCAAGGGCATGTACCTTGGTTGTAGGCACATCCCCTGTTGGGGGTGTGCAGGAAGCAGCTGGTCGATGTTTCTCTCTCATCGATGTTTCTAGCTCTATATCTCTTCTATCCCTCTCCCTTCCTCTCTGTAAAAAATCAATAAAATATATATATATTTTTAAAATTAAAAAAAGAATTTGTTTTAAAAGTACTATATATAGTATCCTCAAAGTGAAATGCTTGAGTATAAATCCAGCAAAAGATATAAGACTATATGCTGAAAGCCATACAACATTGATAGAAAAATGAAAGACCCAAATAAGTGAAGATATTTACACAGTATTGATGGATTGGAAGACTAAATGATGTCCTGCTGTCAGTTTTCTCCAAATTGATGTATAGATTCAATGTACTCCAATAAAAAACCCAGCAAGATTTTAAAGTAAATATTGACTAGCATATTTTAACATTTTGTAGTAAGGCAAAAGAACTAATGTAGCCAAAACAAATACTTTCCTGTATTTGTTTCTATGTATTTTGAGAAAGAATAGTTAAGGAACTCACTGCCTGATTAAAAAAGCTTACTATAAACCTGGAGCAATTAAGATAGTATGATGTTGTTGAAAGGATAAATACATAAATAAATTAAAATAAAGTAGACATATCCACACAAATAAAGTAAATGGATTTTTAAAGTAAATCTTTTGTTGAGAGTATTACAGATGTTTATTTGATACCACAATAATACTCCCTCCCCCATTGTCACCCTCCACCCTGTTCCTGCCCCACCTCAGGCCCATAGGTAATGCATATATGAATATAAGTTTGTTGTTTAATCCTCTTCCCAACTCCCCCTCGTTCCCTCTGAGGTTTTTCAATCTGTTTCATGTTTCCATTCTTCTGATTCTATTTTATTCATTGGTTTATTTTGTTCATTAGATTCTATTTTATTCATTGGTTTAGTTTGTTCATTTGGATTTTTAGATTCAATTGTTGATAGATGTATATTTGTGGCCATGTTATTGTTCATATTTTTTATCTCTTCTTCTTTTTCTTTTTCTTCCTTTTCCACTTCTCAGAGAATATCCTTCAATATTTCATGTAAAAATGAAGTAGTGATGAACTTCTTTATCTTTTTCTTATCTGTATCTAACCTTCAATAATAAATGATAGCTTTGCTGGGTAGAGTAATCTTGATTGTAGGTCCTTGTTATTCATAATTTTGCATATTTCTTGCTACTCCCTTCTGGCCATCAAAGTTTCTATTGAGAAATCAGATGACAGTGGTATGGGTGAGCCCTTGTAGGTAAATAATTGTAATAGGTTTTCTTTTTTTTTCTTTTTAATATATTTTATTGATTTTTTTACAGAAAGGAAGGGAGAAGGACAGAGTTAGCAACATCGATGAGAGAGAAACATCTGTCAGCTGCCTCCTGCACACCCCCCATTGGGGATGTGCCCACAACCAAGGTACATACCCTTGACCGGAATCGAACCTGGGACCTTTCAGTCCTCAGGCTGACACTCTATCCACTGAACCAAATCGGTTTCGGCTGCAATAGGTTTTCAATATCTTGATCTTTCTTCTTCTTCTTTGGCACCTCCATGATGTGAATGTTAGTACTCTTGAAGTTGTCCCAGAGGCTTCTTACATTATCTTCATATTTTTGGTTTCTTTTTTCTTTTTGCTCTTCTGATTGGATGCTTTTTGCTTCCTTATACTTCAAATCCCTGATTTGATTCTCATTATCCTTTCCTCTACTGTTGAATCCCTATAAAGTACATACTCTTTATTTCATTTAGTGAATGCTTTATTTTCTGACTGTCCTTGATGCCCTTGATGTTCTCACTAAGATTCTTGAAATTTTCATTAAGCTCCTTGAAGCTCTCATTAAGATCCTTAGAAACATTGTTTTGAACCTGTATTTAATTGTTTGCTTCAGCCGAAGCTGGCTTGGCTCAGTGGTAGAGCGTCAGTCTGTGGACTGAAAGGTCCCAGGTTCGATTCCGGTCAAGGGCATGTACCTTGGTTGTGGGCACATCCCCGGTACGGGGTGTGCAAGAGGCAGCTGGTCGATGTTTCTCTCTCATCAACGTTTCTAGTTCTCTATCTCCCTCCCTTTCTCTCTGTTAAAAATCAATAAATATATATTTTTAAAAATAGTTTGTTTGCTTCTATTTCATTCAGTTCTTTTTCTGGAGATTTTTCTGTTCTTTCATTTGTGACATGTTTGTGTCTACATTTTGGCTGCTTTCCTGTATTTGTTTCTCTGTATTAGGTAGAACTACTATGTCTCCTGGAATTGGTAGAGTGGCCTATGAGCCCAGTGGTTTGGCCTCTCCAGTCACCACTGTATGAGTTGTGTGCACAGTCTTGCTGTAGTTGAGCCTTGATTACTGTTGATATCACTGGGAGGAATTGACCTTCAGGCCAATTGGCCATAAGGACCAGCTGCGACAGCTTCAATGGGGCTTTGGTGTTCACTGAGACTTTGGTGTTCACTGAGTCTGCCCCTTGAGTATACTCTTGTGAATATGTAGAGTTGTAATCTGGTGTGGTCTGAAGTTGTCCACTAGGTGCACTGGCTTTGGGGCCTCCCAGAAGGTGTAAAGTCAGCAACTACAGAGGAGCTACAGAGCTATCTGCAATTGCTGCTACTTATGTTGGGTTTGAAAGTGCCCAGGTAGAGGCCAGGTTGTGAAGCAAAGGCAGGCTGCTGCTAATGCCAGGTCTTTGGTATCTTAAGAGTTGGGGCACACTGATGCTAGCTGCTGCTTGTTAGAAAGATTTTAGGAAAGTCTGAAGCCTGTGCCAGAACAGGCCATTCATATGGAAAAGCCACTGCAAACAGCTTGGGTGGGGTTGCAAATTGGGTGGGGTGAGGTCCGGGAATCACCAGGGCAGAGTAAACAGTGTGAGCCAGACTAATGAAAAACTTAGATATGGCTCCTGCCAGTCAGCTCTGAGTGGGGGAAGGGCTTAGCATAGGAACAATGAACTCTGTGAGCACCCCAGTCTGGGAGAAATCTGCCCCTGTGTCCTTGCCCCATGACAGACAATCCAGTTCTTCCTCATATATTCCTGGATGCCCCCAAGCTGCTGCCCTAGTGTTGGAGCTCAGAGGGAGCAATTCTAAGTATATCCAAGTGCCAGCCCCTTAAGAGGAACTGCTGGGGTTCTGGTAGCCTCTGTCATTCAGCCACAATGCCTCATAGTTTTTACAGCCTGGTTATCTATCTGTAAGACCCTTCATCTTTTTTTTAAAAAAAAGTTCTTTATTAATCATTTAATATAAAATTTGCACAATCACTACAGATAAAGTCCCTAAATAATCTTTACTCCGTCTGTTGTCCAATCTAGATTACTCAAAGATAAACCTGCCTTTTACTTTCTAAAGCTAATTTGATACATTTTTGTTACATAGTTATTATTTTTTAAATATTCTTTAAAAATAATGTTTATGTCTTTTTTGACATGATAGTTTAGAAATGCTCTTGTTCTCAGAAAAATGATTGCCCACATTTAATCTGTTAATGTACAATGGTTCTTCTTTGTTTTCTTAGGCACGAGATGTGCGTACCAATGAAGTGGTGGCTATCAAAAAAATGTCTTATAGTGGAAAACAGTCTACTGAGGTAGGTGGTGAAATATATACATTTGTACTGGTATGTTAGAAAAAGGTATGCTATTTTTAATTGTGAGTAGGTGGCAATTTCTTCCAAAAAGTATAACGTACATAAAGAAAAGTGTACAGATATTAAGTGTATATCTCAGTAAATTTTCTTTCATACACTGAATGTACCCATTTAACTTGGACCTAGAACCATAAATAGCATTACTGGCATCCCAAAAGCCTCCCAATCTATGGCCCCTGCTTTCAGTTTTTTAAACTGTTACTTAATATATTACTCTATCTTGTCATCGAGAGATTATCAATTTCTAAAATAGTAAACTAGAATAAGATGTATTTCACAGTAAATATATTCGATACAATTTTTTATTTTTATTTTTATTTTTTATTTTTTGGTGTTTTGTTATTTTATTTTATTTTATTTTATTTTATTTTTTTATTTTTTAAATCAGTCTTTATTGTTCATATTATTACGAAGGTTCCTCATTTCTTACCCCCTCCACCAGGTTCCCACCCCACCCTCCGACCCCTCCCCATCCCCCATTGTCCTCATCCATAGGTGCAGTTTATGTTCAGTCTCTTCTTCCCTCCCTTTCCCCAATCAGTTACTCCTTTTCAGATAGTAAATCAGTTACTTAGCATTTTCTCAAATCAATAATACCTCCACATGCCCAATGATACACTTCACACAAAAGACATTTCCCAATAGGTCAACCAGCCTCATCCAGGCCCCACCCAAGGCACTCACAGATCAACACCCCAGCCCTATACTAACTCAACACATCCAGATCTAAGCCTTCATCACTTGATTCAGCAGACCCTCAAGTTCCCACAAAAGTATCCAGCCATGTCTGAGAAGCAGCCGTGGGGCAGGGGCAGGCGAGGAGCGAGCTGTTCCGGGCCTGGCTGCTCAGGGCCTGGCTTCTGTTGCTCTGGTTCGTTCCACAACCAGCTGCTCCGGGTCTGGTCACTGCCGCTCCCGACCTAGTTGCTCTGGACTTGGCTGCTGCTGCTCCTGGCCTGGCCGCTCCCAGCCTTGCAGCCGCTGCTCTGGGCCTGGCCGCACCCGACCCGCCTGCTCCCCCGGGCCTGGCCGCTCCCAGCCTGGCAGCCGCTGCTCCCAGCCTGGCAGCCGCTGCTCCAGGCCTGGCTGCACCCGACCCGGCTGCTCTGGGCCCGGCTGCCCCGGGCCTGGCCGTTCCGAGCCTGGGCACTCCCAGCCTGGATGCTCTGGGCTTGGCTACTGCTGTTCTGGGTCTGGCTGCTCCCACCCCGGCTGCTCTGGGCCCGGCTTCTCCGGGCCCGGCCACTCCGGGTCTGGGTGTTCCTGGACTGGCCACCCTGGGCTTGGCCTCCTCCGCCTCAGGCCTGGCTGCCACTGCCCCAGGTCTGGATGCTCCTTTGCTGGCTGTTGATGCTCTTGTTCTGGCTGCTGCTGCTCTGGGGCCTGGCTGCCACTGCCTTGTGCCTGGCTACTCTAGGCTTGGCCGCCGCAGTTCCAACATTCTGTCTTTTTTTTTTTTTTAAACGCATTTATGTTGCAATGTTGGCTGTTGAGTTGAGTTCTGACTTAGTGTTTGATTTTTCAAGAACTTCTTTGTATTCTTTCTTAAGTAATTTTACTATCTTTTGCTCTCACTTGATTTCTTCACATTGAAAACTTCATTGGTTTCTTTCTCCTTGTCCTGGGAGCTCAGCAGGTTGGCCTGTGGCACCCCTTTGTTCTCCGCGGGCTCCTGCGCTGCTTCAGCCTGTTGCCAGGGACGGCACTGCCCAGGGACGGCGCTGCCCATTGCCTGCGCTCAGCGGTGGAAGGCTCAGGGGCACCCCCCCCCCCCCAGGGGCCCCGTCGCCTGGCTCCTTGCTGGTTCCTGGTTGGCCGGCGTCCCATCCTGGCAGGGGCTCCTGCTCCCCGCCACGTTCCCCCAGCCCGGAGCTTTTTTTCTCCTTCCCACTAGAGGAGTCCAGCAGTACGCGCGAGTCCGGGGGCCCGGCCTTTCGCTGCTCTCCCCGGACTCCACCTCACAGCCCCGTCTCCCTCTGCCTGAGCCTGGGTCCCCAGGGATTGGCCCAGAACTGGGGTTCGGAGCAGTCCGGCCTGAGGCTCAGCACCGCCGGAGGCCTTGTTTCTTCCGGCTAGGGTAACCCAGCATCAGAGTCAACATTCAGTCCTCTGCGCGCATTGCGCGCGACTCCGGGGGCCCTGCTTTTCGCCGCTTTTCCGCCTCACGGCCCCGTCTCCTCCTGCCGAAGCCTGGGTCCCCAGGGTCTGGCCCATAACTGGGGCTCAGCGCTGCCGGTTCGGGGTTCAGCCCAGGCTGGGGGTTTTATTTCCTTCCTGCTAGGGAAGGAAAGGCAGCTCCCCGCCCTCTCCTCCTCTCCGGCTGCGACCTCTCCGCGTGCGCGTGCGGGCGGGCGCGGAGCATGTCTCCGTACCTTAGGCTTTTTTTTTCAGCTCCTCTGATTTTCCTTTTGGTTTTCTCTTTCCTTCTTGTTGTAGAATTTTCAGTCAGTCGACTACCTGTAGCTCTGGGCAATGTCCACTCTAGATCTTAGTTGTAATTCCATTGAAATTGTTGTGTGCTGCCGTGGCTAGATATCTACCCGAGCAGCCATCTTGGATCCTCCCCTCGATACAATTTTTTAATAGTTTAGAGATTAACTGCAGCTTTAAACAAACTTTAAATAACAGACAGTATAGATGTAGTCTGAAAAACAGGTGGTGTGTAATAATCTGAAAAACTAAAATATAAAATTATTGATACCACATTGACTATGTGTTAGTTCACTAATATTCTGATTAGTTCTTTTGACATATTTATTCTATTTAATTGCGTAAATTTATTTTATAAAATGCAGGATGTGTCAGTCTTTAAAAATTCTTTTACATTATGGCAAAATATACAAAATTTACCAGTAAGTCATTCTTAAGTGTTCAGTGGCATTAAGGATAGTCATATTGCTGTCTTAAATACCACCACCATTTTTCTCCAGAAATATTTTCATTTCATCTTACAAAATTGAAGCTCTGTACTTATTACATAACTAGTGGCCCAGTGCACGAAATTCGTGCATGGGGTGGGGTGTCCCTCAGCCTGGCCTGTAACCTCTCCAATCTGGGACCCCTCAGGGGATAACTGGCAGTCAGACGTCCCTCTCACAATCCAGAATTGCTGGCTCCTAACTGCTCTCCTGCCTGCCTAATGGCCCCTAACTTCTTCTGTATGCAGGCTTGATTGTCCCTAACTGCTCCCCTGCTGGCTTGATTGCCCTTAACCACCTCTTTCTCGGCCCCTCCTCCAGCCAACCACAGGCACCTGACCAGGCTTCCCTCCCTCTGGTCAGCCATAGGTGCCCAGGCTGGCTGCAGCCACAGGGGATGGTGGGCAGGTGGCTTCTCCTGGGCTGCAGCTGCAAGTTCTGGTGCTCAGGACTGCAGGGTGGGTGGCTTTTCTGTCTACTAGGCTGTAGCCAGCCATGGGTGCTGATGCCTGAACCATAGGAGGGTGGCTTCTCTGTCTTCCCTGGGATGCAGTGTGGGCGACTTATCTGGCTGGCTGCGGCCTGGAATTATGGGGCAGGCAGTTTTTTCGTCTCCCTGGCCACACTCAGCCTCAGGTGCTGGGGCCCAGTTTCTCCATCTTCCTCAGGACGTGGGGTAGGCAGACAGGAGGTTTCTGCTGCTATCTGTGGCCTGGGATCAGGGGGCAGGCCACTTCTTCATCTCCCAGGTTGCAGCCAGCCACAGGTGCTGGTGCCTGACTTCTCTGACCCCCCATAGGCCTTGAGGAGTGGGGCATGTTTTCAGTTTAATTTGCATACTCACTCTGATTGGCTGGCAGCCGAAGTAGAGTGATGGTAATTTGCATGTTTCTCTTTTATTCCTGTTTTCTCCCTCCTCCAGTGCTTGGAAATCACCATTCTGAATTAGACTAGTTTAGGTTAACTCCTATAAGTGAATCCTTTTTAATTACGTAATGCCCTCAAAGCTTGTCCATATTGTAGTATATGTTAGAATTTCCTCCCTGTTTAAAGCTAAATAATATTCCTGTGGTGTGTGTGTGTTTGTATATAAAACACCACATTTTGTTTATCCATTCATCTGTTGATGGACATGGGTTCCTCCATCCTTTGGTTATTGTGAATGATGCTGCTATGAGCATGGGTATGCAAATATTTCTTTGAGTTCCTGCTTTTCAATACTTTTGAGTTTGTGCTCAGAGGTAGAATTTCTGAATCAGTCTTTAATTTTTAATAATTTTGGTTTTCTACCTTTTCTGAATCTCTTCATTTTATGCTAAATCTTGTTTTTGTGATAATACTCTGGGTATAATGACACTATTATGATTATTTCAGTGTTCCATCATTTTGATTCCTAAAACTCCAAAAAAAATCCCACTTCCATTGCTTACAAGTTTCCTCTAACTTTATTTTTTTTTTAATTTTTTAATTTTTTTCACACTTAAATATTTTTATTTATTTGTTTATTTATGTATTATTTATTTATTTTTGTTTATTTTTGTTTTTTTATTATCTTTGTACATATACCATTGCGCACCCCCCCTCCCCAACTTTAGAACTATGATAGCTTTCACAGGAAGACTTGTGCTATGTTGGCATCTGATTAGGCACACCTAGAACAAAAAGTTTTATTTAGGACATTTTTTTTTAATGTCCAATATTAGTGTCCTTTATAAAAGTATTTTTTTTTTACATTGAAGAGTGCAGTTGCTTTGTTTTGAGAGTTTGCCTCCCAGAGCATTCAAATTTGAAAGTTGAAGCCCATGAAACTGAATTTTGCATCTTATATGTTAAAATATTGTGCTGCTATTTTGCTGTATTTTATTGAAGACTTGTTAAATAACATAGGAGATATATGACCTTAAATTCAGTACAAAATATTTCTTAAAGTTTTCTATTATACGAGTTTCTCTGACTTTAGAAATATGATCCAAGTTGGGGATAAAGCTTTAAAAAAATTAAAACAAGAACAAGAAATAGATTCCTGCTTCCCAATCCTACACCTACTAAGTCTGTAGACCAAAGAACCTGGTTGGGTCCTTAGAGTTCCCTGATTGCTTCTTAAGAGTTACTTTGTTTAAAATAAGGCTTAAGTATACTGTTATGGTCAATGGTTTATCTGTATTGCTGGGTAGGTGTTAATGAAGAAAGCTCTTAGTAAAATATGTATGAAAATGTTTTCATACTGTTTGTTTTTTTCTGTGAACTTTTCTATGTAATAACTAATTGTTCATTAGCATTTTAGAAAGTAATGTGCATTTATGAATTTGTCTCAGAGTTATGACTTCATTTGAGTTTAAAAAAACAAACAAATCCAAAACCAGTTTGGCTCAGTGGATAGAGCGTTGACCTGAGGACTGAAAGGTCCCAGGTTTGATTCCGGTCAAGGGCATGTACCTTGGTTGTGGCACATCCCCAGTAGGGGCTGTGCAGGAGGCAGCTGATCGATGTCTCTCTCTCATTGATGTTTCTAACTCTCTATTCCACTACCTTCCTCTCTGTAAAAAATCAATAAAAATATGTATATTTTTAAAAAATCTTAACATTTGTTAGAAGATATAAGCCAGAAACATGATAGGTGAACTTTATGGTATGTGGATTATGTCAGTAAAGCTGCAGATAAGAAAAGGGAAGTTGAATTTTGATGAAAAATAAATAATTATGGTACATAGATTTCACCACTGTGTGGTGTGTGGTTGTAAAATATTCATAAGACTCGATGATAAATTTTATCAAACATTTGTCCTACCTTGAATAAAATAATTTTATAAATTATGTAATTTATTATTAAGTATGAAATTAATTCCTCTTAAATGGATTATTTTGACATTTAATTTAAATATTACAACTATGGCAAAGCTATATGCTCTCATTAATCCTTAATCTAGTAATTACTTTTTTCTTATATACATTTCTAAGGAAAATCAGCTGTTCATAATTCTTTCCTTTATTCCCTTTTTTTCTCCCCATAGAAATGGCAGGATATTATTAAAGAAGTCAAGTTTCTACAAAGAATAAAACATCCCAACAGTATAGAATATAAAGGCTGCTATTTACGTGAGCACACAGCATGGGTAGGTATCTGCTCTCCCTTTGTCTTAATTTTATTTGGTTTGGACATATAATTAATTAAATTAAGGGTGTCTTGCCCTGACTGGTGTCTTTTAGTGGTTAGAGCCTCAGCCCACATACCTAAGGGTCTTGGATTCTATTACTGGTCAAGGGCTGCACGTACCTGGGTTGCATTCCCTGTCCTGTTGGGTCATGTGCCGGCGGCAACCAATTGATGTGTCTCTCACTCCGTGTTTCTTTCCCAAACTCCTTCCCTCTCTCCCTTCTACTCTCTCCAAAAATCAATGGAAAAACATATCTTTGGGTGAGAATTAACCTAAAAAATTAAAGAATGTCTCAAAATTGTCCTGTGAAGCTTGCAAAAACACTTTGAAATGTTATTTCATACTGAGAAAGGAAGAGTAGCTTTTCCTAGAACTCCTTTCCCTAGGAAATAAGAACTTTTGCAGGTTCACTATAGAGATTTATTTATTTATTTATTTTTATTAAATTATTATCTTTGTACAAATTGTAATATTGCTCCTCTCTCCCGTACATACCCTCCTTCCCCAGAGTTTTGTGTCCAGTGGTTGTACTTATATGCATGTATACAAGTCCTTCGGTTGATCTCTTATCTCCCCCAGCACTATAGAGATTTAGCTGGCCTTTATATGCATGGTAAAATGTTCTCTGAAAATTTTTTAGTAGTTTGTCAGACTACTAAATGGTTTTTCATTGTAAAAACAATTTTATTACTAAAGGATGAAAGTTATATCTTTTTGACATGATGTATTATAAACTATTTAATCACAAAGTACTTGGTGAAGTGTTGATGAATCCTGGTGAAATTTGAATTAATTGTGATTACTTGGCTGAGTACTATTAAAGGTAGAGAATTGAGACACTTTATTACATGAATTAGAGATTAATTTTACCCTATTGTTACCACTGAGGTGATAATGTAGTAATCCCATAATGGTATAGGCATAATAACTATCTTTTAAGAAAAGGGCTAAATTTTCATTAAACAGGTATGATCTTTTATTTTGAATAATTAATAAGCTAGAGCTATTATCATTCTAGTGGACTGAAGTTAGATTTAGATTTGTAATGTTTGCTGCATTTTTATCCAGTTTTATTTTGGTGATGGATGTGGTAGTACTCCTAAACTTGAAGCTGTTGTTAAAGAAAAAGTAGTGACATTGGGCTGGTTATTTCTCTGTCTCTCAAATTTTTCCATCTGTAAAGCATGGAAATAATAAGGCCTACCTCATAAAGTGGTTGTGAGGATTAAATTAATTAATATGTATAAAATACCTGGCACATTAGGAGGTGCTCTGTGTTTGCTTTAAGTGAAAAATTTAAACTGTAACCCTAAATCTGGCCGGTATGGCGCAATAGTTGAACACTGACCCATCAGCCAGGAGGTTATTGATTTGATTTCCAGTCATGTCTGGGCTCAATACCCATTGGGGGGCGTGCAGGAGGCCAGCCAATCAATGATTTTCTTTAATCATTGATACTTCTATATCTCCCTTCCTCTCTCTCTAAAATCATTAAAAACATACATTCTTAAAAAGTTTAAAAATAAACTGTAACCTAAGCTTTGTACATATAGTCCCAGAGGACAGTTTTCTGTTACCTGACAATCATTACTACTATTCTAGGTTAATAGTAACAGAATATGTATCTTATAATTTTTGTTGGTAATTATGTATGAAATACATATCTTGTCATTGACTTAACCTTATAAATACATTTAACAAATTGCTAACTGCATAAATGTTTTTTAAGGTAAATAATGACTAGAGTTTGTTTTATTTCAAACTATCTTCTTGGTGAATTTATTTTATATAAAATAGTCTTTTTAATAATATATTTTAATACTTTTATAACTTTTCTTCCCATATAGCTTGTAATGGAATATTGTTTAGGATCTGCTTCAGATTTACTGGAAGGTAGGTTTCCTTTAAATATTAAGAAAAAAAAAAGTATTAGCAAAATAAAATAAGAATTCAGTAAGAGCCTTCTTAAAAAAAACTTTTCAAAACAGTGAAAACCTTAACCTTTTTCTAGAATCTCAGCATGGTATACACCATCCTCATTTAATGTTATCTATAATAATAAAAGCATAATATGCTAATTAGACTGAACGTCCTTTCAGATGAAACCGGGGTTTGCAAGGGAAGCCTGGGTCCCAGGCTGGCGGCACCCACAGCCACAAGATTGCAGCACCTAGTCCACTCAGCCCCATCAGGGTGGCAGGCGCATGGCATGGCCAGGCCCACACTCAGACAGGTCCAGTCACTCCGTGCGCCTGCCTCCAGAGTCCTTCAGTCCCCCAGCCACCCAGGGCCAGCCTGAGGTGCAGGCAAGCCTCAGGCATCAACTGCCCAGCCCCCCCAGGGCCACCCAAGGCTCAGGTAAGCAGGGCTGGCCCAGGCTTGCGCTGCTGGCAGTGGCAGCAACAGAGGTGTGATGAGGGCGTCACCTTCCCCTGATTGCTGAGTCGCCTCCTGCCCCTGAGGGCTCCCAGACTGTGAGAAGGGGGCAAGTCGGGCTGAGGGAGGGATGCCCCCTCCAGTTCATGAGTTTTCAGGCACCGTGCCTCTAGTCACCAAATAATCATTAAATGTTGTTAGCTTTGAGGAATGTTGGTTGTAACCTCTACTTTAACAGCAAGGCACAATTGGTACTAGTTAAAACATTCAAGCCTTGTATTACTAGTATATCTTGTATTACTAGTATCCCTTGTTGCTAAATGTTAAGTGTTTTTAAATTGCTCTCTATATATCAGATATGTATATTTATTATTTTTTAAATGTTCTATATAATAATTATTTTTAAATTCTTACTTTAAGTTCACAAAAAGCCATTACAAGAAGTGGAAATAGCAGCAATTACACATGGTGCTCTCCAGGGATTAGCCTACTTGCATTCGCATACTATGATCCATAGGTAAGTACATTGAAAATTGTTGTGTATTGCCGAAAACGGTTTGGCTCAATGGATAGAGCGTCGGCTTGGGGACTGAAGGGTCCCGGGTTCAATTCCAGTCAAGGGCATTTACATTGTTTGCGGGCATATACCCAGTAGGGGGTGTGCAAGAGGCAGCTGTGACTCTCTCTCATCGATGTTTCTAACTCTCTCTCTCCCTTCCTCTCTGTACAAAATCAATAAAATATATTAAAAAAAAAAAAAAAAAAACTTAAAAAAAATTGTCGTGTATTAATCAGCAAATGGTTTGTTGCTTTTATCAACCCTGGAACTCATTAACCCTGAAATATTCATTGTTAAAGCACTTCAGTATCTTATAAACTCATAATTTTTAGATTGTCCGTACCTTAAAAAGAATGTACTAGTACACTTGATCTCTTGGTTTAGGATAATATTATCTTTTCTGCACATGCTGCTGGGCTTTCTGAAGCATGTATACTTGATAGATTTGAGGTAGCAATTTAATTACAGAATTATTTAATTTGCAAAATGGAAAAGGCCATTAAGAATTATATAGTCTTTTTTAATTTTACAGATGAAGAAACTGATGCCCCAATTTGTTATTAATTTCTCCAAGTTTACAAAGCTTGGGTAGCCGAAACCTGTTTGGCTCAATGGATAGAACATCAGCCTGTGGACTGAAGAGTCCCAGGTTCGATTCCAGTCAAGGGCATGTACATTGCTTGCAGGCACATCCCCAGTAGGGGGTGTGCAAGAGGCAGCTGATTGATGATTCTCTCTCAACAATGTTTCTGACTCTCTATCCCTCTCTCTTCCTCTCTATAAAAAATCAATAAAATATATTTTTTAAAAAATAAAGCTTAGGTAGATTAAAGTACTAGAACTAAACCTAGATATTTTTCTTCCTGATAACTGATAATGCCAGATTTGCTCCATTAATTTTATAACAGAGATATATAAGTTACTTAAGCCGGGCCAGTGTAGTTCAGTGGTTGAACGTGAATCTACGAACCAGGAGGTCATAGTTCGATTCTTGGTCAGGGCATATGCCCCGGTTTCAGGCTCGATCCCCAGTGGGGACATCAGGAGGCAGCCAGTCAATTATTCTCCCATCATTGATACTTCTGTTTCTCTTTCCTCTCCTCTCTGAAATCAATAAAAATATATATATTTTTTAAAGCTACTTAAGCCCTAGCTGGTTTTGCTCAATGGATAGAGCATCGGTCTGCAGACCAAAGGATTCTGGGTTCCATTCCTATCAAGGACCCTGGTCAGGACATGTGCAGGAGGCAACCAATTGATGTGTTTCTCTCTCATCAATGTTTCTGTCTTTCCCTCTCTCTTCCACTCTCTAAAAAAATTCACTGGAAAAATATCATTGAATGAGGATAAACAAAAATAAATTAATTAATAAATGGCTACTTAAGACTCTTTATGCTTTTGAGTATTAATCCGTAGCAATCCATGGTGATAGATAGTAACTTTAAACCATTTTATAATGCATATTTAGCATTGGTATTGGCTTTGCCGGGTTTAGAAGAAAATTAACATTTTTTAAAATTTATAAGTAAATTAGGCAATACATATTAAAGTAAGTAGTAGAGTCATTGTGAGTTAACGGGTTGTCAGTTTTTTTGATGAAAATAGTAGAGAAACACATGCTAGAAAATATACGAAAGAGGTAAAATTAAAACCTAAGATCTCAATTTCAAAGCATCTCTCCTTTTTAATTTTTTAATATATGTTTATTGATTTCAGAACGGCAGAGAGAGAGAAATAGGAAGAGAGGGAATCATTGATTGGCTGCTGCTTCCACACCCCACACAGAATCGAGTCCGCAACCTAGGCATGTGCCCTGATAAGGAATCAAACTAACCTGGTTCATAGGTTGCCGCTCAACCACTGAGCCACCGCGGACGGACACCTCTCCATTTTTAAAAAACAAGTGGGAGGACAATAGATTTAGTATTATATCCATCACAATACTATAATAAGAATTGACAAGTGCTTAGAAATAAAGTTTTTCTTTTCTTGAATGGTTAAGTGTATATTATGACACCCATTGAACATAAAATCCTATTATATAAATATCCTTCATTTTTTTAGTTTGTATGGAGAGTTTGTTTGCTGATTTAGAAAAGTAAGCTTGAAAGTAAATTTGAAATCATTGATAGTATATTTTCCTTATACATCATTTTTAATTTCATGTTGTTAGATGGATTATGCTAAGCTTTGTAAATGATATGAATAATCCTTTTGTAGAAATTGGGGGCATATTTGCAGCAACATGGATGGATCTAGAGCAGGAGTGGGGAATGTCTGGCCCATTGGCTATATAAGGTCCATGAAATCATTTGGTCTGGCCTTGCCAAGGCATTAAGGGTCAATTAATTAAATGTTTGACCAAATTTAGCAGGCTAATTTTTTTTTTTAATATATTTTATTGATTTTTTACAGAGAGGAAGGGAGAGAGAGAGAGAGGTAGAAACGTCGATGAGAGAGAGAGAAACATCGACCAGCTGCCTCTTGCACATCCCCCACTGGGGATATGCCCGCAACCAAGGTACATGCCCTTGACCGGAATCGAACCTGGGACCTTTCAGTCCGCAGATCGACACTCTACCGCTGAGCCAAACCGGTTTTGGCTAGCAGGCTAATTTTTAAGTTGATAATTTTGTATGGCCCTTGTTATAAATATCAAAATGGTCCTTGGCAGATAAAAGGATTCCCTACCTCTGGTCTAGAGGCTACTATGCTAAGTGATATAAATTAAGCAGAGAAAGAAATACTGTATATTTTCACTTATATGTGGAATCTAAAACAGAAACCGGTCATTGGGATGATTACCAGAAGGGAATGAGTGGGAGGATGGCTGAAAAGGGGGAAAAGGACTATAATCAATAACATTGTGATAAGTTTGCACAGTGACAGATGATTACTACAGTTAGTCAGGTGATCACGTTATAAGGTATAAAAATGTCAAACCACTATATTGTACATCTAAAACTAATAAACCAATATAAGACTGTATACCGCTATACTTAAATTTTAAAAAATTTTAAGTTAAATAATGAAAAATTGGGCATGATATTTAATTGTGCATAATATTTTACATTAAGTGGGATACTCTGAAATCTTATATTTATGAAGAAATGGCCAGCTAATTAAATTCTACTTTTAAAACCATTATTTGTACAAGTAAATAGGAACTCAGATATAGATTATATGCTCCAGTTGTTTGATTTTCTACCTTTTCTTTTTATTGCTATTTTGTCTTCTTTTAGAAAATTGTTCCTATATATTTGTATTAATTTTATATTTTTTTGTTTTCTAATTTAGATCTTAATCCTTACTATTCCAATTGAAAGAGTATTCTAGAACTTATTTTTATTTTTTCTTCTTAACTTTACAAATTTTTGTTTGAATTTTATTGTTTTCAACATAATCTAATGAAAGAAGAAGAAATAATTTTCTGTGTTCCTTAAACCCAGAGATATCAAAGCAGGAAATATTCTCCTGACAGAACCAGGCCAGGTGAAACTTGCTGACTTTGGATCTGCTTCCATGGCATCTCCTGCCAATTCTTTTGTGGGAACGCCATATTGGTAAGACTAATCCTATCTGATATTGAGTCTCATAAATGAAATAAGTAATGTGTGGTTGTACTTTTTTCAGTTGTCTTTTTCCTGGAAATGTAATGCTATTTTGAATGTTTTAATTTTAAGCATTATAGGTAGTTTCAAATATAGATTTGGAGTGCTACCCTTGCATTTCCTATTTTTACTCGTGGTCCACATTTTCTTTCATATTATTATCTGCTTCCTATGTTGGTTGTGGAAGTGAAAAAATTTCAATAAAAATTGAAGTGGAGAGTAGATAGAAATGGTAAATGGAAAGTTGTGTTTTCTTTAGGTTTATATTTAACTATATATCAATGATCTTCAGACTAAGATACCACAAGACTGGTAGCTAATTTGGTGTTTTGGGTGTTGTTTTTTTATATGTTATAGAGAATTTAAATTACACATAAAAGTCAACAAGAGTGCCTTAGCTGGGTAGCTCAGTTGGTTAGAGCATCGTCCCCATGTGCTAGGGTGTGGGTTCTATCCTCGGCACATACAGGAGTCAGCCAATGAATGCATAAATAAATGGAAAAATAAACTGATGTTTCCCTTTCCAATCAATCAAATAATAAAAGCAATTTAAAGTCAAGAAAGGTATAATAAATTCTCACATACCACTCACCCCAACAACATTATCCCATGGCCATTCCCAACTATGTATTCACTTCTCCCCCTTCTCCACCACTCAGTTATTTTGAAGCAAATTCTAGACAACATGTAATTTTAACCATAAATAATTCAGTATTAATGTCAGCAAGTTTGAAGGGAATAATTTTCACTGTCTATCCATACATGTCCTATTTCTGGGTGTATGCAGACTATTTTCTTAGGTCCATTACATATTTTTTCCCATGGACCTTTCAAATCTCCTTTCTCCCACTTCATAAAAGAAAGGCTTCTTGCCCATTCTGAATATTATAATGATGCATTGCCCTGAGATATAAAAGCTTCAAAGCAACACCAGAGGGACAACTTCAGAATATAATCTGTAAGAAACATTGAAGAATCAGGACACAAACTCTTAATAACGCCTGGTGCCTTTTTATTATCTTATTTCTTTATTCCTTTTTTTTTTTTCCCCTCCTCAGTTACCGTCTCTCCCTTCTTTTTTTCTTCTAATTGTAGAATTCATAACCGAGATGGTTGTCATGGGGACACATTAACATGTTACTTGTATTGAAAAATGAAGTCAGATTTTTTTCTGACAGATGATTCTGATTCAGCTGATTGATAGCATGAACACTGGCTTTGCTAATTAAGTTCTGTGGTAGTGGTTTTGATAAATTGAATGAGCTAATTCTGCAGCTCCCAGTTTTAAAGACCTTTAAAGCAGATATACAATATACCTTATGTGTGTATGCTGCACATTAAATCTTTTGCAAATATTAAATTATTAAAATTATAAACTCAAATATGCAAGGGTATACTAGTTTTTATAATTTCACTGGAGGTAAATGAATAAAAAAATTTTGAAGACCACTGTTCCAGAAGACCAAAAATTTTTTGTGTGGACCCTAGTTTAGATAGAGCCTCCTTCCCCTATATAAAACAAAGGTTCTTTGAACAAATAATATTTCTTAATGGTTCTATTTAGAAATTAATGGTGAATATTAGATATTTTAAAAGCCCCCTAGTTCTCAATTTAAAAAAGATTATTTACTTTTGTTTAAACTTAGTAATTCCCCAAACTTACTTCAACATCTTAAAGAATACATTGGAAACACCCAATTATTGATAATTGAAAATTTACTTTATTTACATATTTGTTAATTTAGGTTTTTTTGTTTTTTTTTGTGTGTGTGTGTGTGTTTTTAAAATATATTTTATTGATTTTTTTACAGAGAAGAAAGGAGAGGGATAGAGAGTTAGAAACATCAATGAGAGAGAGACATCGATCAGCTGCCTCCTGCACACCTCCTACTGGGGATGTGCCCGCAACCACAGTACATGCCCTTGACTGGAATCGAACCTGGGACCTTTAAGTCCGCAGACTGACACTCTATCAATTGAGCCAAACCAGTCTTGGCAATTTGAGTTGTTTTTTTTAAAGTTTTTCTTCATATTTGTTTATTTGTGTGTAGTGTATTTGGAAAACAGAAACTAGGCAATATTTACATGTCTTTGCGTGAGCACACGCCCAGGGGTTCCTGGTGACAAACTCACTAAAGAAATTGGCAAGTGTTTTTAAGTGTCTGTCTGTACTTAACTCCAAATGCAAGTAAAGTATAAGGTTAAAGTACCATAAAAAATGTTAGACTCAAAAAAAATGTTAGTCTCTAGTTGAAGATATGAATTAATATTTCATTTTATAACCAAGATACTTATAAGATTGATAATTGATTGTTTCAGTTGTGAGTCTCCCTAGACACTTTTTTAAATTTTTATTGATTTCAGAAGGAGGAAGGGAGAAGGAGAGATTAGAAACATCAATGATGAGAGAATCATTGATTGGCTGTCTCTTGCATGCTCCCTGCTGGGTTTTGAGCATGCAACCCCAGATCAAACCAGAACCTCCTGTTTCCTGGGTCAGCATTCAACCACTGAGCAACACCAGCCAGGCTAAGACACTTTTATCACAGAACACTATTTTTATTTGAAAGAAAGAGTGACAGACTATAGTAATTAGTGTTGGTTATTTTGGCAAATATTTTCTTAAATAAATGGTGTGAGCTTGTAACTTTAAGAAAGATAATTGCCAGTATTTATTTCCTCTTTAGAGCAAAAGTTAGATGTTTGTAATGGGATCTTGAGACCACCACTGGCCTAAAGGATATACAGTATTAGAATCTGCGAGATTGAACAGATGCAGAATATAACCCCGCTCTGTGGCATCCTTCCTTTAGGATGCTGTTATATATCATGACATATAGTAAAAATAAGTCTTAAACTATCTGTGCAATGGTAACTGTTTACCTCACAACCTGTAATGCATTCATTTCCCATTATAAAAATTCTTATATCTAGATATATTGCCTGCATAGGTGTTCTCCATGTAGATAGTCATTATATTTTAATGAATAGTATAAATTTTTTTTAACTTTAAATGACATTTTATATTTTAGGATGGCCCCGGAAGTAATTTTAGCCATGGATGAAGGACAGTATGATGGCAAAGTAGATGTATGGTCTCTTGGAATAACATGTATTGAACTAGGTAAGCATTCTTTTTTATTACTGTGTAGTAAGGTTTAATCAATGTCTTACCTCAATTTCTGTACCAAATTTTAGGTTTAGTTTTTATTTTGTCACTTACTAAAGGAAACAATAAATTTATTAAAGTTTTCATTTTGGATCAGTTATTTTTATATGTATTAGGTTAGGTATAATATATCATATTTGCTTTGTTAAATTAGATCTAAAAAAATTTTCATTATGGGTTAAAGTATCTATGTCTAATATTAAAGAGTATTTGTTAAACACTTGGACTATATCTATACTTACTAGATTTACCATGTATAGCAGATCTCTAAAGCATTTATGAATTACTTACCTCTACCTAAGATACTTATGACTTGAAGTTAGGTATGATAATTAGAAGTCAGGCTGTATGTCATATTGTATGTAGTATTTTGATTTTGTGAACACTTTTTATTCTGTTGCCTATGAATGGAACTGTGCTTAAGGCAGTGGACTATCATAACTTTACTAACATTCCCACTGTAAGTGAACCAGGTGGGTAATTGAGCTGTCACTGTAATCAAAGATGATGAACATCTTCTTCCTTTTGACTCCCAACGCTACCCACCCTCCCCCACCCCACATTAGTCCAATATCCTTTCCTTTTTTTTTCTTACAGGAGAATTCTATTAAACTTTATTTAAAAGTGTAAAATACTGGGAATATTTATTTCAGCAATTCTAGTAGTAATCAAGGATTGAAAAGAACATGTTAATAGTAAAATCGATATGTAATTTTGATAAATCATTATCAACCCGGGTTTGTTAGTAGTTTTCTAAAACAAGTAATAGGGAAATTGAGATAAAAATAAAAGTAAAGATTGCTTATCATTACACAGTAGATGAATATTGTAATTTCCAATACAACCAGACTGTTTATACCTTGCAGTCTAATATTTTTCCAAAATACTATTTTTGCTTGTATTGGAATGCCTATATTAACCATTGCCTTCAAGCTTTATATCATTTTTAAGTTTGACAACATCAGTAAACCAAGGTTTGGAGACTATCATGTCATTTTCTTCTGATCTTTTTTTTTTTTTTTTTTTTTTTTTTTTTTAATCAATCTTTATTGTTCATATTATTACAAAGGTTCCTCATTTCTTCCCCCCTCCACCAGGTTCCCACCCCGCCCTCTGCCCCCTCCCCATCCCCCATTGTCCTCATCCATAGGTGCAGTTTATGTTCAGTCTCTTCTTTCCTCAATTTCCCCAATAGTAAATCCCTTTTCAGATAGTAAATCAGTTACTTAGCATTTTCTCATATCAATAATACCTCCACATGCCCAATGATACACTTCACACAAAAGACATTTCCCAATAGGTCCACTAGCCTCATCCAGGCCCCACCCAAGGCACTCACAGATCAACACCCCAGTCCTAAACTAACTCAACACATCCAGATCTAAGCCTTCATCACTTGATTCAGCAGACCCTCAAGTTCCCACGAAAGTTTCCAGCCATGTCTGAGAGGCAGCCGTAGGGCAGGGGCAGGCAAGGAGCGAGCTGTTCTGGGCCTGGCTGCTCAGGGCCTGGCCTCTGCTGCTCGGGTTCATTCCACAACCAGCTGCTCCGGGTCTGGTCACTGCCGCTCCCGACCTAGTTGCTCTGGACTTGGCTGCTGCTCCCCCGGGCCTGGCCGCTCCCAGCCTGGCAGCCACTGCTCCGGGCCTGGCCGCACCCGACCCGCCTGCTCCCCCGGGCCTGGCCGCTCCCAGCCTGGCAGCCGCTGCTCCGGGCCTGGCCGCACCTGACCCGGCTGCTCTGGGCCCGGCTGCCCCGGGCCCGGCCGCTCCGAGCCTGGCCATTCCCGACCTGGATGCTCTGGGCTTGGCTACTGCTGTTCTGGGTCTGGCTGCTCCCACCCCGGCTGCTCTGGGCCCGGCTTCTCCGGGCCCGGCCACTCCGGGTCTGGGTGTTCCTGGACTGGCCACCCTGGGCTTGGCTGCCTCCGCCTCATGCCTGGCTGACACTGCCCCAGGTCTGGCTACTCCAGTGCTGGCTGTTGATGCTCTGGTTCTGGCTGCTGTTGTTCTGGGGCCTGGCCGTTGCTGCTCCGGGTCTGGCTGCCACTGCCTTGTGCCTGGCCACTCTAGGCCTGGCCGTCGCTGTTCCAACATTCTGTCCTTTTTTTTTTTCTTTTTAAAACGCATTTATGTTGCAATGTTGGCTGGTGAGTTGAGTTCTGACTTAGTCTTTGATTTTTCAAGATCTTCTTTGTATTCTTTCTTAAGTAATTTTACTATTTTTTGCTCTCACTTGATTTCTTCACATTGAGAACTTCTTTGGTTTCTTCCTCCTTGTCCTGGGAGCTCAGCAGGTTGGCCTGTGGCACCCCTTTGTTCTCCGCGGGCTCCTGCGCTGCTTCAGCCTGTTGCCGGGACGGTGCTGCCCAGGAAGCAGCCCCCGGCCTTGGCTCCATTGCCCGAGCTCAGTGGTCAAAGGCTCAGGGGCACCCACGCCCCCAGGGACCCCGTGGCCCGCCTCCTTGCTGGTGCCCGGTTGGCTGGAGTCCGGCAGGGGCTTCCGCTCCCCTCCGCGTTCCCCCAGCCTAGAGCTTTTTTTTTCTCCTTCCCGCTAGGGAAGTCCAGCATCAGAGTCAACAGACTGTCCTCTGCGCGCAGTTTGCGCGAGTCCCGGGGGCCCGGCCTTTCGCTGCTCTCCCCAGACTCCACCTCACAGCCCCGTCTCCCTCTGCCTGAGCCTGGGTCCCCAGGGATTAGCCCAGAACTGGAGTTCGGAGCAGTCCGGCCTGAGGCTCAGCACCGCCGGAGGCCTTGTTTCTTCCGGCTAGGGTAACCCAGCATCAGAGTCAACATTCAGTCCTCTGCGCGCATTGCGGGCGACTCCCGGGGCCCTGCTTTTCGCAGTTTTTCTGCCTCACAGTTTTTCTGCCACCAGAGCCTGGGTCCCCAGGGTCTGGCCCATAACTGGGACTCAGCGCTGCCAGTTCGGGGGTTCAGCCCAGGCTGGGGGTTTTATTTCCTTCCTGCTAGGGAAGGAAAGGCGGCTCCCCGCCCTCTCCTCCTCTCCGGCTGCGACCTCTCCGTGCGCGCGTGCGGGCGGGCGCGCGCGCAGCATGTCTCCGTACCTTAGGCTTTTTTTCAGCTCCTCTGATTTTCTTTCTGGTTTTCTCTTTCCTTCTTGTTGTAGAAATTTCAGTCAGTCGACTACCTGTAGCTCTGGGCAATGTCCACTCTACATTTTAGTTGTATTCCATTGAAATTGTTGTGTGCTGCCGCGGCTAGATGTCTACCCGAGCAGCCATCTTGGATCCTCTTCCCATTTTCTTCTGATCTTTTGGTCTTAATTTGAGGTTTATAAAATGTTTCTTCCATTTGAAATTATTATTATTATTATTATTATTATTATTATTATTAGTTTAATATGTCAGTAGTGGAATGATCCACCCTTTTTACAAAGGGTGAAAAGAAAACTACTATATTTTTCAAGGACATTTACAAAAAGTTTTTTTTTTTACTTTAAGAAGAAACAGAATAAAAAGTAAATGTCCAGCCTGGCTGGTGTGAACGTCAGTCAACCAAGTAACCAAGGGGTCATGGGTTCCATTCCAGTCAGGTCACATGCCTGGGTTGCAGGCTCGATCTCCAGTAAGGGGACATGCAGGAGGCAGCCAATTAATGATTCTCTCTCATCTTCGATGTTTCTATCTCTAAAAATCAAAGAAAAAAATTTTTTTAAATGTTAGACCATTTAAAAATTTAAATACTCTAATAAGTTATCATAGAAACAAGTTATTTCATTCATTCAGAATTTCTTCAGTAACTGTCCCCTTCCTAAACTATTCAGCTGGTGAGCCATGATAACCCAGGATGGAGTATCTCGAGTCATCTGATTAAAGGGGAGAGATCCCACAGACCAATATTCTGGTTTGGGAAAAAGGAATTTAATGAGGGTAACCATGCAAGTGGGTAGTCAGGTTTGGAGGATCGGACCCCTAGTGGGCATTCATACCATTCATAGAGGTGGCTCAGTTTGGTCTATCAGAATCCAAGTAGGTTGAGGAGGTTACAGTATGGAGAGCAATATATTGTATGGTATTAGAGGACATCCATTTGACACACAGTGCCTCATCAAAAAGAACAGGGCTTTCCTCATGACGACTTATGAGGAGGGCCTCACTGTAGTTTGGGTGGGATATCAGAAACTAAGTGGACTCAGTTGTTTTATCGTCATCCTATGCACTGAAGGTTCACCGGTTCCATTCCAGCTCAGGGCACATACCCAGGCTGCGTGTTTGATCCCCAGTTGGGGTGAGTGCATGCAGGAGGCAACCAATCAATGTTTCTCACATTGACGTCTCTCCCTCCCCTCACTCTCCCTCTCCCTTTCTCTCTCTAGAATCAATAAAAAGAAAACATGTTTTAAAAAAAGAAAAAGAAACAGTGGGTGAAAAGGACATTTACACTGAAGAGTGACTTGGGACGAGTTTTCAAAGCTTCAGCAGGGAAAAGGGAACATCTGTTCACAAGAAAGGAATAAGAGACTGGTTACATACAGAGGGAATTTATCAAATAAAATATATTAAGAATAATTAGAGCAAGGTTTTTCATTGTCAGAGAAAATTATTACATATAATGGAGAAAAAGCTCGAATAAATACAGTATTGGATTGGATTTGAGATACTGTAGTGAACATAATTGTTTTCAATAGACATATAAGTGATTAATGTGCATGTATGTATATAATTATAGGGTGTCCCCCAAAAATGTACACATGCACATTAATCACTTATATGTCTATTGAAAACAATTATAATTTGAATAATTATAAAGGCAGTGTTTATTTTATTTTTTAAATATATTTTATTGATTTTTTTTACAGAGAGGAAGAGAGAGGGATAGAGAGCGTTAGAAACATCGATGAGAGAGAATCATTGATCAGCTGCCTCTTGCACATCCCCTAATGGGAATGTGCCTGCAACCAAGGTACATGCCCTTGACCGGAATCGAACCCAGGACCTTTCAGTCCGCAGGCTGACGCTCTATCCACTGAGCCAAACCTTTAGTTTTGGCTAAAGGCAGTGTTTATTAAAATACATTTCATTTTCAAAATTGAGCCATCAGCTGTTAAGACATATATGCATATTTTTGGGACACCCTGTATATTATTCACTGTAGTGACAACTCAGTAGCAATGAGCACATCTATTGCCATAGCTCTTCAAGAGAAACAATTGATCCAATGTATGAAATAGGGAAAGTACCAGATGAACCTGGAACTTAATTTTATTTTAAGACGTGACCTTAACAATTCTAAAAATACAAGACTTTTGAATGTCCCTCTATGAGTTTATCTTATAATTAAATTTAGGTTATACATCTTTGGCAGGAACACCACAGAACTAGATGTTAAAATTTAAGACACATATCTAGTGTCTTAAATTTTACTTTAAGGTTCTAGAGAAAGAAGAGCAAATTCAACCCAAAATAAGCAGAAGAAAGAATAAGAAAGGTCAAAGTAAAAATCAATCAAATAGTAAACAAATACAATAGAAAAAATAAATCAGAAACTAGTTCTTCAAGATAATTGATAAACCTCTAGCCAGATTTATCAGGCAAAAACGAAAGAAGACACAAATTACCAATATCAGGTGTGAGAAGTGACTTCACTACAGATTTTATAGGCATTAAAAAGACTAAGGATATAGTATGAATAATCTTATGTTAATAAAGTTAACAACTTAGATAAAATAGGCAGTTTCCTTGAAGGACACAGTGAGTAAAGCTCACTTTTGGTATAGAGGACATTATTTGACATTAGATTGAAATTTGAATGGGGAATGAGTATTAGATGAGAGTCATGTATCAGCATCGATGACTGGATTTAATGGAGGTATTATTGTTCTTTACTAGGGTGTTCTTGTTTTAAAATATTTAGTAATGGTAGATGATCAATTCAGCAATTTAATCTAAATTGATTTACTTGAACATGTGTTTCTAACTCAACTTACAATATTTTTCTAAGTTTGAAATTATTTTAAAAAAAAAAAAACTTTAACGATATTTGCAAGAACAATAACAAGTTTTCTTTCTCCTACAGCGGAAAGAAAGCCTCCTTTATTTAATATGAATGCAATGAGTGCCTTATATCATATAGCCCAAAATGAATCCCCTACACTACAGTCTAATGAATGGTGAGTATTGCTAAGAGATTTATTACTCAACATTTTATAAATTAAATGTGTTCTTATAATGTTATCAAAATGATTTCATTTCAATTAGGTAAAGTGTATTTCTATCTGAAGAGAGATGAACATAGGCTTATTTTTGAAACAGTAGTCTAATTAATCTATCATTGCTTTGGAGTATATTATTTTTATTGGATTATTAAGAGACATTATCGTGTATGCTATTATCTTGTTTAATTCCCTCAGTGAACTTGTGTTAAATAAACTACACAATGATAAGTACAATAGGTTTATTTTACTCCTATATCATGTTTATCCTTTAATATATCTGCTTTTCAAAGCATATGTATCTCAGTGATGCAAATGGAAGCAAAACATATTGATTTAAACAAAAATTTATATTTTATATTTTCTTTGAACTTTAGAATACATATTACCCTGATTATATAATAACACAATTTAAACATGAATATATAACTTTGTGATCATTCTAGTTTTTATGTTATTTATTATTCAGAATTCTCTGATGTTCCTTTTCTTAGTGCTTCCTTGATTTGATAAAATTAAGTTCATTTATGTAAAGACGTTTATGTAGAACTGATTGATAGTTTAAAAACTAAAATTTTTATTAGTGGTAGAAAATTTTAATGAAAATTGATTCTTCGGATGTATCTAGCATTTGAAAAAGTGTAGGAGATACTCTAATCCCTCATAATAAAAAGGTAACATGCTAATTAGACCAGTTGGCTGAATGACCTCTGGAACGACTTTCCTGACAATCCTCCAAAACAACCTTTCTGACGACCTTCTGGAATGACCAGTGGGCAGGGGGCAGGGCTAGGCAGCAGCGTCTGTGAGGGCTTACTCTTGCACAATTTTTGTGCATCTAGTATATTTAATAAATACTTTAAAATTCACAAGTAGATATATAAATTAGCAATAGTTTATTTTTTTAAAGATTACATAATTAAGGCACATAAATTAGAGACATGTATAAGGAATCTTTTGGCACAGAGTTTAGTACTATGGTACATATAAATAATAAATATATTGAACACAGACTTAGATTCTTTGGGGAGTCAAAAAAATCTTGCACAAGGAACATAAAATGTTATCTGATATTTTAAGACAAATGATGAATTATTACTTACTGCCTTGTTCACTGAACTCTTATCATAACATGCTATAGTAATATGTTGTAGACTTTTAATGTTTTTAAAAATAACTTAATTGGTTTAATGGAAATTTTATCCATTTGTTCAAGGATATCAAATATAGGTATACAAAATGCTCCCTCCAAAGCTAAGAGATAATCCAAGAAGCAAACAAGGGAGAGATGGCTTAGAGAAGAGAAAACAAATTGAAAAGGATGTCATTTTAATTTGAATGCAAAGAAGAAAAAAATTGACTTCCCTAATTTTGCCTTAATTTAGAATGAGTTGTGTTATTATGTGAGAGCAGGATTTTTAAATCATCTGTGCAAGTTTATCTTTGAAAAATGGTAAAGATTCACTGGTTGCTTTCGATGGTTTTTATAGATTTATATGAAATACATGCTATGTATTGCATCTGCTTTCTTTTAAAATTTTTCCATCCCCCCTCCCACCAATAGGCATATACCTTGATTTGTGGATCTGTTTTTTAAAGGAAATAGCAATATGTTCACTTGATACTTTCCTTTACAATAGGTCTGATTATTTTCGCAACTTTGTAGATTCTTGCCTCCAGAAAATCCCTCAAGATCGCCCTACATCAGAGGAACTTTTAAAGGTCAGTTTATACTCTTAAATTGGTTTTCTATCCCTAAGAAATTATTTTTTTTAATGTGCTTTATTCCTCTTTGATTCTGAATCAGTATTACCAGCCCTAGCCAGTTTGGCTCAATGGATAGAGTGCTGGCCTGCTGACCAAAGGTTCCCAGGTTCAATTCCCGTCCAGGGCACATACCTTGGTTTCAGGCTCCTCCTCAGCCTGGGCAGTGGTCGGGGCACCTACAGGAGGCAACCAATCAATGTATTTCTCTCACATTGATATTTTTCTCTTTGCCTCTCTCTAGCACTCTCTCTATAATTAATGGAAAAATACCCTCGGTTTAAAAAATAATAAAATATGTTAAAAAAAAAAAAAAAAAAGAAAAGAAAAGAAAGAAAAAAAAGAAAAGAAAAGAAAGAAAGAAAATGCCGTACCATTTTTCTAGAATATTGTTGGAAAGTTTTCTCAGATGCTAAGTTTTTCATTTGTTTTTGTTTTTCCCCCCAAAAAATTTATTAACTGGTTTTACTGTCACTAAATACAATATATCGTCAAATATTCAAAATATAAACTTAAAAATGGTTATCGTTTTTGTTTCCTTTCTGGAAATATCTTTTTCTAACTTAATGAAAATATTTTTTAAATTATGTAAATTCTATTCAGTTTTCAATAGATTTGTTGCTTAAACACATTACTGGTATCCTTTATATTCTCAAAAAATTATTATTTCATTTGTAGGCTTACCATCTTCTTAATATCAGTAGTAATATTGTCGAAATGAAACATCTAGTTAAGACATTATTAGTAAATAGGATTTGTGTCTTATCTCTTTGTGATCTTGTTGATTTTCACTACAAGATGTAAGTAGACTTTCATTACATGAATGTTTTAGAGTTTCAAAGAGGTTCAGCTTATTTTTACTGAACAGCAATTAAAGATACAAAGAAAATCTTCATATATATATTCAGTAGTATTGTTTGCAACCATAGTATGTTGAAAAGCAAAGTTTCAGTAATGAAAGCCTGAATAAATAGGCACTCATTGCAGCAACAAAATGTTCAGTATACCTAGGAATTATGTTAGTGAAAAATAAGCAAGATCTACATGTAGAAAGTTATTAAACTTAGAAATATATTATTTTTTTATAAGAAGACTGAATATTGGCCCCAGCACCTGACTCAGTTGGTTGGAGTATTCATTGCCCCATGTACCAGAAGGATTGCAGGTTCAATTCCTAGTTGGGGCACATGCTGAGGTTGCAGTTTTGATCCCCAGTCAGGGTGTGTATGGGAGGCAACTGATCATTGTTTCTATCTCCCTTCCTCTCTCTCTAAAATCAATAAATATGTCCTCAGGTGAGGAATAAATAATAATAATCCTATCCTATCTAATAAAAAGGGAATATGCTAATTGACCATCACTCTTCACAAAGATGGCTGCACCCACAGCTGAGGCCAAGTTCCCATAAGGAGCCCTAATGAGCAATCAGCAGGGACCTGAGGCTACGCCCTCCCCCACTTCCAAGGGGTTTGACAGGGGACCTCAGGCCATGTCCCCTACCCAGGCTTGACGGGACCTCAGGCTGTGCCCCACCCGGCAGGGCTTGACAGGGAACCTCAGGCTGCTCCCCCTGCCCCAGTGCCAGTTCGGGGACCTCAGGCCGAGTCCCCCAACTGGCGGGACTAGACAGGGGACTTTAGGCCACACCCCCACCCAGCCGAGCTTGATGGAGGACCTGAGGCTGTGTACCCCCACCTGGCGGGGTTTGACAGGGGACCTCAAACTATGTCCCTCACCCAGTGGGGCTTGACAGGGGATTTCAGGGTGTGTCCTCCACCTGGCAGGGCTTAACAGAGGACCTCAAGGCATGCCCCCTGTTCCAGTCTGGGCTGGGGACCTCAGGCCATGCTCCCATCCTGGCATGGGGCCAGGGAACCTTAGGCTATGCCCCCGGCCCGGCAGGATTTCACAAGGATGGGACTGGCCGGGTCTGGATCTAGCCCATATAGAGGGAAGTGGGGGGGGCCACAGCCTGCTGGGTCTGGGTCTCACATGATTTTTGAGGGTGGGCAGGGACTTGACTCTGGGTCCCAGGGTGAGCCCCAGACTCTGATAGGAAGAAGGTTTTCATATACATTTTACTAATTTTCTTTCATTTCTGACACTTCTATTATAGAGAAAAGGCAAATAGCAATATTAAATCATTTCCTCTAATTAATCCCCTTTTAATGTGCACAAATTTTGTGCACCGGTCACTAGTAATCCTATATAATAAAAGCCTAATATACTAATTGTTCCCTTGAGTCGAAACCGGTTTGGCTCAGTGGTAGAGCATTGGTCTGCGGACTGAAAGGTCCCGGGTTCGATTCTGGTCAAGGGCATGTACCTTGGTTGTGGGCACATCCCCAGTAGGGGGTGTGCAAGAGGCAGCTGGTCGATGTTTCTCTCTCATCGATGTTTCTAGCTCTTTTTCTCTGTAAAAAATCAATAAAATATATATTTTTTAAAATAATAATAATAATAATTGTTCCCTCGGGTGGTCGGTTGACCCAGACACCAGGAGTTTGACCACTCACTCTGATGTGCGCTGACCACCAGGAGGTGGCACACTGCGACCTCAGGCCAGCTACCTGGGGGCAGGGGTGATGGGGATGGAAGTGCGTTGAGAATGCGGGATGTCTACCAAATTCACTCACTCCCCCTGCTAACCTCCCCCAGGACACCAGAGTTTGCATGCCAGGGAAGCCCCCGAGCTCAGGTGCCAGGCACCCGCAAAGAGCCCACCCTGCTCCCGCGTGGCCTCTTCAGGGTGAGCCAGGCCACAGCCGCTGGGACCGCAGGCGCCAGTCGGGCTCCCCCTGGGTTTGTGCAGAAGCCAGTATGGAGAGAGTGTGCTACCCACCTGGCCTCCATGCGGTGCTGCTGGGCGGCCCAGAAGCCCATGCTGCACCCTGGCCCTTGGCATCTGGCTGCACTCACCATATCTCCGCATGGGGATTCAGGCACAGTGACTCAGGTGGAGGGGGGCGAGCAGGGGCCTGAGGACTCAGGTGCTGTCCAGGGCCCAGAGGTCACCTTGGACCTGCCCTTCCATGCCCGATTCTTGCACTTCAATCACTGGCTAAGCCTAGGGACCACATCCCTGCACTAATTTTGTGCACCTAGCCTCTAGTAATAATAATCTTATATAATAAAAGCATAGTATGCAAATTGTCTCCTCTACTGGAGTTCTCCCTGGAGTTCTGGGGACAGGGTGGCCAGGAGAAAGGAGGGAGGCCCCAGCCAGCAGCCTCTAGGGACCCTATCAGTGTGAGAATTTTGTGCACTCGATCTCTAGTAATATAATAATAATAATAATAATAATAATAATAATAGAAGAAGAAGAAAAAGACTTACTATTGTAGATAGTGGTACATACCAAGAAACTTAAGGCTCAGGAAAAAGGAAGAATGTTACTGCCTTCTTACACTTGCCCAAGGATAAACTCTTTTGACAAAAACCTAACCCACCAGGGTCAAGTATTTGGTATTTAGAGAATAGATCCCAATTCTGAGTGTATTGGAACAGCCTTATTGGAAAGTTTCAAGTGCTTCTTTTTTCCTTGGCCTAATTACATTTCTGTCACAGTCCATCATAAAGAGAAAAAAAGAAAAAAGTTTTTAAAATATATATAGAAAATTTTTTAAAGGAAATACACCATCCCTGGAATATAAAGTACAGCATAGAAAATGTAATCAATAATATTGTAGTAACTGTATGGTGCCAGGTGGGTACTAGACTTATTTGGGAGGATCACTTCATAAGTTTTTAAAACACTATGCTGTACACCTGAAACTAATATAATATTGAATATCAACTGTAATTGAAAAAATGAAAGAAAAGAACTATATCAAAAAGTAACAGTGGTACTTCTAATGGTAGAGTCATTCTTTCTATTTTTCTGTATTTAATAAGGTTAAGCTTCATAAATGTTAAATCACTAATAATGCCCAGCAAGTATGGATCAGTATTTGAGGGGTGACCCATGAACCAGGAGTTCACAGTTCAATTCCGGTGAAGGCCTATGCCCTGATTAGGGGCTCAGTCCTCCTTAGGGGATATGCAGGAGGCAGCTGATCAATGATTCTCTCATCATTGATGTTTCTATCTTTTTCTTGCTCTCCCTTCCTCTCTCTAAAATTAATAAAACCTTATTTTTAAAAAGAAATAAAATATTACTAATATAATGGCTTTTAATCAGCTGCTAGTGTTTTATGAAGTGTTGCTTATGAAATATACAAAGGAGCAAATAATATCAAGGTTTTATGTAACATAAAACCACCATCAGTAAATACATTCCTTTTCAAACCTAACTAAGAACTAACATCCTTGCCAAAACCGGTTTGGCTCAGTGGTAGAGCGTTGGTTTAAGGACTGAAAGGCCCCAGGTTCGATTCTGGTCAAGGGCATGTACCTTGATTGCGGGCACATCCCCGGGGGCACATCCCCGGTAGGGGGAGTGCAAGAGGCAGCTGGTCGGTGTTTCTCTCTCATCGACGTTTCTAGCTCTCTCTCTCTCTCCCTTCCTCTCTGTAAAATATCAATAAAATATATTTAAAAAAAAAAAAAAGAACTAACATCCTTAACTATGAAATCAGCAGTTCTAGAATATGTAAACCTGTATTTAACAATTGAACTTAGGGCTCTAATTTAATAATTGAACTTAATTCTTAGACTTTAATTAGACTTTTTGATTATTTTAACTCAGCATTTTCAGTTGTCCAACAAAAATATCTTCAAAGTTTTTATAAAATTTGCAGGGGTAGTTATGTAGGCACAGAATATGTATGAGCAAATGACAACTTTGTAAATGAAAGAAGTCAGAAGTATAGTAGAACTAGATAGCTTTAGATTATATTAAATATCTATCATAATTATTTAGGATAGTAATTCTAAGAGGGGTACATTTGTACTAATTAAAAAATATATAGAGCATAGGTTTTAACTTTTACTTTCGCTTATCCAGCACATGTTTGTTCTTCGGGAACGCCCTGAAACAGTGTTAATAGATCTCATTCAAAGGACAAAGGATGCAGTAAGAGAACTGGACAATCTGCAATATAGAAAAATGAAGAAACTCCTTTTCCAGGAGGCACATAATGGACCAGCAGTAGAAGCACAGGAAGAAGAAGAGGTAATAACTTAGAAATGGCTGAAATATTGAGCTCTCTTCATTGGCTTCTTTCCTTATGTAATCTGTTTTGTCACAAATCTTTTAGATCAGTGGTTCCTAGGTTGTGTTTTCTTACCTGGATCCCAGATGGGAAAAAGATATTGCATTATTTAAACCCAACCCTTCTTAGTGTATATTGGGATAGTAAAGCCCTGCAAGTCCTTTATTAAGGAAACCTGTTCAATTTTATTTAATGTAGTTCCTCTCAAAGTTCTTCGCCACTGGACCTTTTTTTTTTTTCTTTTTTACCATTCTCCAATTTCATGGGACATGCTTTTGGAAATATTTGAAATAATAAACTCTGGAAGTTGCCAAAACTTACTCAGAAAGTTACCAGGTGTTCTGTTTTGTCATCGTAAACACTTTTTTCAGTTCCGTACAATTTTGTTCCATCTACACAGTTCTGAAATACTCATTTACAGATTAGTAAAGCAAGGCTCAAAATGGTTAATTCACTTTATCTTTTTCTTCTTTATACCTGTTAGAATGCTAAAGCTTTTATTTTTTTGTATTACTTTCCAATGAAGGAGATTATTTTGCAGTCTGAAACCAGGAGCAGTAGTTAGTTACTTTTCTTTTTAACAGTGTTGCATAGTTAATGAACTATAAAATACAATACTTTCTTAACTTACAGTTTTGTTTTTATTTTATTCTTATAATAGTCATTAGAAAGTTGTTAGGGGCTATTTTAAATATATGACTATTTTAGCAAAGTTGTGAAATTAATAAAATTCTAATGTAGTTAAATCTGTAATTCTAAAGTAATAACTTCAATAGGCTAGGGATATAAGTTCATATATGTATGAGATATATATCTATATATAGTGAGAGATATACACAAGATGGGTCTATATCAGTGGTTCCCAATGTGGGGCCCAGGCCTCACAGGGGGGGCAGTTTGATTTTTAAGGGGGACAATTCAAGAATGAGTTATTAATAGTTAATTTTTTATATTTCTTATGGTTCTAGGGGCCTCATATACAGTATATAAATATATAGTGACATATTTATGCATTTTAGCTCTCTATTATATGTTTTAAAACTTCATTTGCTATTTTTTCATATCACTTCATATTATTTTTTAAACAATTTCTTAGTGCTTTCTTCCTCAGTACTTCAGTTGTCCTTTTGTTTTTCTCTCTCATGAATGCCATGTTCTTTGGAAGCTTGTTTAAGACCAAGTTAATGGCCTTTTAGGCTTCCTCCATGTGAATAGGAGTTCACTTTTTAAATAATAAGAATTATATGTCTCAAGTGGGGCATGGCCAAAAAAATATTGGGAACTACTGATCTATATTAATTAAATTCTGCATATCTTTAAAAAATTCTACATGTCTATAGAATTTTGAGATGGTAAGACCGCTATAATGTTAGTGCCTAGATTCCATTGCTTGCCTGGTTACTTCAGAAAAACAGTCTTATGATTTTGATTAAATATATAAGTAATATGTCATTTTCAATTTACACGAAAATGGATAAGAATTAATGTTAATTATATGGTGATAGAGGATGGGCTAGAGATTATATTCTGAAGGAAAAAGGAACAATTTATAAATAATGAAAGCATAATATGCTAATTAGTCTGGACAGCCAAACAACCTCCTGGACGAAGCCAGGGCTGTTAGGGCTGAGCACCTTGCACGAATTTCATGCATTGAGCCTCCAGTATACTTATACAGGGCTTCAATAAAAAATAACTAAAAGGGGTTGTTTAGCTGTAGCCTGTTTGACTCAGAAGATAGAGTGTCAGCCAACAGACTGAAGGGTCCCAGGTTTGATTCTGGTCAAAGGCGCATGCCTGGTTATGGGCTCCATCCCTAGTGGGGGATGTGCGGGAGTCAGCCAATCAGTGATTCTCTCTCATCATTGACGTTTCTGTCTCTCCTCCCTTCCTCTCTGAGATCAATAAAAATATTTAAAGGGGGAAGGGGGGTTGTTTACAAGGTTTAAAAAAAAAAAAAAAAGTTGGGGCTTATTTTAACCATGGGAATCATTGAAAAATGAGCGTAATCTCTATATAGTTGTGTGGTAGAAATAGATTTTTAAAATATCAGTTTAGAGAAAATGCTACACTTTAGAAATAATCCAAAGCTAGTTAACTGATTTTTTCACACATTTGGGTTTTTTAACTGTCAAGGAATAGTTGTTAAACTTATTGGTTTGACAATTAAAGGGGATTTCTCATAATAGACCTGTGACTTTCTGAAGACTGTATGCCAAGCAATGTGCAAGATACTTGTATTCAAGAATTCAAAAGAAATACCGATATTTGAACCTAATGTTCTTTTCCCTTAGGAACAAGATCATGGTGTTGGACGGACAGGAACAGTGAATAGTGTTGGAAGTAATCAGTCTATTCCCAGTATGTCCATTAGTGCCAGTAGCCAAAGCAGTAGTGTTAACAGTCTTCCAGATGCCTCGGATGACAAGAGTGAGCTGGACATGATGGAGGGAGATCATACAGTGATGTCTAATAGTTCTGTCATCCACTTAAAACCTGTGAGTATTTGGGTTTTAGTGAAAATTTTCAACTTTGGTAAATAATTTTCTTCATCTGATTAGTGTAAGAGGAATTTTTTTTTTTTAATGTTTCAGGAATTTGGAACAATAGGCTTGTTAATTCCCAATGTAATGTATGCATTTGGGAAACTAATGTTTTAAGAATATAAAAATTGTTTTTTTAATTTTAGAAGAAAGAAATACAGAAATAAGATATGTATTATTTGAAATATTATTTCATTATAAGATGAAAAGCAAAGTATTTTAAAATAGTAAGTATAAAATTAGTGATAATGGTTACGTTTGGGGAGTAGGAGAAAGAGTTAAGATGATCAAAAGTAACTTTGGGCCGGGACCGGTTTGACTCAGTGGATAGAGCTTCGGCCTGCGGACTGAAAGGTCCCGGGTTCGATTCCGGTCAAGGGCATGTATCTTGGTTGCGGGCACATCTCCGGTAGGGGGTGTGCAAGAGGCAGCTGGTCGATGTTTCTCTCTCATCGACATTTCTAACTCTCTGTCCCTCTCAATTCCTCTCTGTGTAAAATCAATAAAATGTATTTAAAAAAATTTTTTTAAAAAAGAGTAACTTTGGGCCCTGGCCAGTGTTAGACCAACGTCCCATGCATCTAAGGGTAATGGACACAATTTCCTGTAAAGGCGCATGCCTGAGGCAACCAATCGGAGTTTCTTTCTTTCTCTCCCTCTCTTTCTCTCTTGAATCAATGAAGATCATATCCTCAGATGAGGATAAAAAAATAACTTTTGCATTATCCATGTTTACATGTTTAAAATAAAATTGAGTGTAGTTTATGTATAATCCACAGATACAGACAAAAGTGCAGTGAAGGCTTGGGGAGGGGGCAGGAGTGAGGAGGAAAGGGTGAATGGGGGTAAAAAGGGGAACATCTATAATAGTTTTAATAATAAAGATAATTTTTTTTAAAAATTGAGTGTAGTTACAGAAAAGTATAAATGCAGTATATAAGAAATAGATTTGTATGCTACCTTATTTTTTGCACTTTCAAGTACAAAAATTTTTAATTTTCTTAAAAATATTTGAGGTCAGGTAGTTTCTTTTAGCAATTATTAGAAATGTTTCCTTTTTAACTTAACAGCTTGTGGTATTACCTAAAATGTTAGTAGAAACCATTAGCTAAAAGGTGGAACCAACATAAGTATCCATCAATGAATAAATAAACAAAATGTGGTATATACATCTAATGGAATATTATTCAACTATAAAAAGGAATGAAATTCTGATATGCTACATGGAGTGAACCTTGAAAACATGCTAAGTGATACAAACCAGATGCAAAAAAATAAATATTGTGTAATTCCATTTATATGAAATACCTAGAATAGGCAAATTCATAGAGATAGAAAGTAGATTAAAGGGTACCAGGGGCTGAATAGAAGAGAGTTTTTGTTAATGGATACAGAGTTTCCATTTGGGATGATAAATGTTTGGAAATAGTGGCAATGGTTGTACAGCATTAAGAATGTAATTAATGCCACTGACATATACTTAAAGATGGTTAAAATAGCAAATTTTATATTACATATATTTTATCACATACAAAAAAGTTATTAAGAATGATTAGATAAGTGGTAGTGTTATTCAGAGCAAAATCATGTTTAATTTTTATATTCTTACAATAGAATCAGCGATATAAAATATTATTCCCATAATTAGTTGGTTGCCCACTTAATTGACTTCTCTTTAGTTAATGAACTAAGGTAATTTATAAGGAAAAACATTAATTTACAACTATTTTTTGGTTACTTGGACAAATGGCAGACACATTATAAAGATATGTTTAACCTATATTATTGCTTCTAAAACCCAGGAGCATACGAAAAATTAATTTCATTGCTGCTGATTAAAATATTGGCCGCATGTTTCATCATCATTATTTTCAAGTCATATTAAAGCTTTGCAATTTTACATATGAGTAGGATATAAATCTAGCCTTATACATTTTCTTATCCTGAGTCTCTGTGCTATTTCATACACTGAAGAAATAACATCTCCTGATTTTACTTATGTTGGAAATATCTTAAAAGTTCAGATGAACTCTGTTCATCTCAAAAGTGTTGTCTCTTTTTTTATTTAGGAGGAAGAAAATTACAGAGAAGAGGTAGATTCTAGAACAAGAGCATCAGATCCACAATCTCCACCCCAAGTATCTCGTCATAAACCACACTATCGTAATCGAGAACACTTTGCTACTATTCGGACAGCATCACTGGTATGTGCTTCACCTGAATTTGAAGTATATTTTCCATGTTGGATCTTGTCATCTATACTCAAATATAACGATTTTTTTTTTTGTATTTGAGGTTTATTTTGCAAAACATTTATTCAGAATTAAGTGCCTGTTGGAAGAAAGAATATATGAAACACTCAGACATTAAACTAATAATATCTTCAAGAAATGTATACAAATAACTAATATGTTAGAATACTAGTGGCCCATTGCACGAAAAATGTGCACGGGGAGAGGAGAAGGGGGTCTCTCAGCTCAGCCTGCACCCTTTTGCAATCTGGGACCCTTGGCTCCTAACCACTTACCTACCTGCCTGCCCGATCACTCCTAACCTCTCTGCCTGCCTGCCGGATCGCCCCTAACTGCCTTCCCCTGCCAGCCTGATCTCGCCTCCCAACTGCCTCTGTCTGCCAGACTACTCTTGCCCTCAACTGCCCTTCCCTGCTGGCCTGATCTCGCTCCCAACTACCTTCCCCTGCCAGACTAATCTTGCCCTAAACTGCCCTCTCCTGCCAGCCTGGTTGTCCCCAACTGCCCTCTCCTGCAAGCCTGATCTCACCCCCAATGGCCCTCCCATGCAATACTGATCTCGCCCCAAACTGCCCTCCTCTGCCAGTCTGATCTTGCCCTCAACTGCCTTAAAACTCCGTCTCAGCCCCCACCTTAGGTTCTGCCTTTGCAATTCTCCCAGATTAGGTTCTGATTGGTTGGTTTCTATACCATTCAGCATCAAAAGCTCCACTTCCTAGGCAGCCATTGGATCCTCACAGTTCACCCAGATTTGATTCTGATTGGTCGGTTTCTATGCCAGTCAGTGTCAAAAGCTCCACCTTTTAGCCGAAACTGGTTTGGCTCAGTGGATAGAGCGTCAGCCTGACTAAAAGGTTTGATTCTGGTCAAGGGCACATTCCCAATGGCGGGTGTGCAGGAGGCAGGAGGATGTTTCTCTCTCATCGATGTTTCTAACTCCCTATCTCTCTCCCTTCCTCTCTGTAAAAAATCAAATTTTTTTTTTTTAAGCTCTGCCTTCTAGGCAGCCATTGGCTTCTCACAGTTCACCCAGATTTGGTTCTGATTGATCGGTTTTTATGCCTTTTTTTTTTTAGTGGCAAAAGCTCTGCTCCTAGGCAGTAGTTGGCTCCTTACAGTTCACCCAGATTTGGTCCTGATTGGTCAGTTTCTTTGCCAGTCAGCATCTCCAGGCATGATCAGTAGCCAGGGCTGATCAGTACCCCCTGTACGGGCCTGTAGAGTAAGAGAGGCATGCTTCTGGGCCTGATCCACAGTTCCCTAAGTCGTCATTGCTGGGTCACCACAGCAACTCAGCACTGACTGTAGGACTGACTTCTGGTGGTTAGTCGAGCCTTCAGTCGTTAAGGTCACTGCCATATATATATATATATATATATATATATATATACACACACACAAATATTAAACAATTAAGAGTACTACAAGATACTCAGCAGGAATTCAGATGACTTTTTAAAATATAATTTTTTTGTTGATTTCAGAAAAGAAGGGTGAGGGGGAGAGAGAGAGAGAAACATCGATGGTGAGAGAGAATCATTGATTGCCTGCCTCCTGCATGTCCCACACTGGGGATTGAGCCTGAAACCTGGGCATGTGCCCTGACCAGAATCAAACCGTGACCTCCTGGTTCATTCATAGGTCAATGTTCAATCACTGAGTCACTCTGGTTGGGCAATTCAGATTCATTTTAATTCAGGGCATAAAGGAGTATTTATAAAATGAATTAAACCTTAAATAATTAGTTTTAGGCTGGAGAAAGAGGAAAAATGTTATTTCCACATAAAAATTGACAATAAGGAAATACTGAGGCTAAAAAAAATGAGGGGAAATGTTTGAAAAATGTCAGGTGATCCAATTTGACATACTCAAAAATAGTTTTTCTGCTTTCCCAAATAACAATAAAAATGATTATTTGTTAATTAGAGGAACACTATTTTGATGGGGTACTTATAATCTTGATCAAATAGTAGAACCAAAACACAGTAAAGGATTCTAGGGATAGAAAGAAATTATAGAAAAAAACTAGAGGCTCAGTGCATGAAATTCGTACATGGATAGGGTCCCTAGTGGCTGCCTGCTGGCCGGGCCTTCCTTCATTCAGCGCTGCCCCCTGGTGTTCAGTGCATGTCATAGTGAACAGTCGAATTCCCGGTCAAACTCTCAATGGGACACTTTGCATCTTAGGCAATATATATATATATATATATATATATATATATATATATATATATATATATATATATACACACACACACTATTGGTTCAGTGCATGAAATTCATGCATGGGGGAGGGTGTCCCTCAGCCCGGCCTGCACCTTCTCCAATCTAGGACCCCTCAGGGTTGTCTTGACTGCCGGCAGTCGAACCTCCTTCTTGCATTCTGGAACCACTGGCTCCTAACAACTCACCTGCCTACCTGCCTGATCACCCTAATCCCTCTGCCTGCTGGCCTGATCACTTCTGACCTGATCACTCCTAACTGCCCACCCCTGGTTACACACACACACACACACACACACACACACACCGCTGGCCTGCTCGCTCCCAACTGACTGCCCCTCCTGCTGGCCTGATTGTCCCCAACTGCCCCCCTGCCCCTGCCAGCCTGATTGCCCCTAACCACCTCTGCCTCAGCCCAGCCCCATGGCTTTGTCGGGAAGGACATCTGAAAGGTCTCCCAGTCTAATTAGCATATTACTCTTTTATTAGTATAGATAGGCTATTGGAGAAAATGACAGAAAAAAAAAAAGATAAGGGAGTTATCTAACTTGTTAACTACATATGCAGATTTTATAAATCCCATGCTATATGACATGGGGCCAAGAACACCATCTCTCACCATAATTCAGGTCATTCCTACTATTCTGCAACATCTAAAGAACTCTTTGAACAGAGCAAGTGGCAAATTTGCTTAATTTTTTTTCATAGCTATTTTAATAAATATGTAGAGAGGGGCCAGTTTGTGGGGAAACATCTTTGTGTCTTGGCATATATTATATGTTTCCCAAGCAAGTCTATTGTCCCATAATTTGGCTCACTCAAATTAATTAAAGAGCATTTAAATTATAGATTTAGAAAACTTAAGGTCCCTTTCCTGTAATTTCATTGATTTCAAATAAAAATTCAGAGTATGCAGATTTATGTGCAAAGATAAGCATAGGTATAGTATTCAATATATTTACTATACGCAATAATTTAGTCTTAACTTCTTTTGCCTTGAATTTTTTTCATACAATCAAATGCACAGATCTTAGATATTCAGTTTGAAGAGTTTTTATAATGGTATATACGTAGGCTAACCTACATATATAGTAAATACTGAAGTGTTCGCTTTAAAGTGTGATTTGATTTTATGTGAATCTCACCTCAATTTGAAAATCTAATTTATACATTTTTTTTCTTTATAGTCAGTATTGTGTGTACTGACCATGAAATATTTGCCTACCCCATATTTGTGAAGATACTTTGTTTCCTTCTGCTATATGACTCTGGGTTTCATGTTTAGGTTAAATAACTCTTTTCAGCCGAAACCGGTTTGGCTCAGTGGATAGAGTATCAGCCTGCGGACTGAAGGGTCCTAGGTTCAATTCCGGTCAAGGGCATGTGCCTTGGTTGTGGGCACATCCCCAGTGGGGGGGGTGCAAGGGGCAGCTGATCGATGATTCTCTCTCATCGATGTTTCTAGCTCTCTATCCCTCTCTCTTCCTCTCTATGAAAAATCAATAAAATATATTTTTTTAAAATAAAATAAATAACTCTTTTCAAATTGATTTTTGTATTTAGATTGATATAGGAGTTAAGGTTTATTTATTTATTTTAATGCAGAGAACCAGTTGTTTTAGCAGGATTGTTAAAAAAAAAAAAAACACACTTTTTCCTCTTTGAATTTTTGGCAGAAATCAATTGACTGAATATGTGTGGGTCTATTTCTATATTTTATTCTGTTCCTTTGATCTACTCAGCCTATCCTTAAAACCACACTAGTTAGATTACTGAAGTATATGCTTCTAACTTTTACCCCCCTCAAGATTGTTTGCCTATTCCATTACATTCCCATATAAATTTTAGAACCAGCTTGTCTGTTTAAAAGACCTACTGGGAATTTAACTAGAAATTGCTAGCTGGGATCTCTTACATTAATTGCCTACTTAGTTATTACCAGAGTGGTCTAAAATGCTTTTGAAAAGAAAATGTTTGCTTTTTTTATTCTTTTCTTTTAGGTTACAAGGCAAATGCAAGAACATGAGCAGGACTCTGAACTTAGAGAGCAGATGTCTGGCTATAAGAGAATGAGGCGACAACATCAAAAGCAGCTGATGACTCTAGAAAATAAGCTAAAGGCTGAGATGGATGAACATCGCCTCAGATTAGATAAAGATCTTGAAACTCAACGTAACAATTTTGCTGCAGAAATGGAGAAACTTATCAAGAAACATCAGGCTGCTATGGAAAAAGAGGTGACTGATCCAGTATTACATTTTTTAAACTTTTTAATTTATTGATTAATTATTAGAGACAGGAAAAGAGAAACAAACACTTTGTTGTTCCACTTATTTATGCATTCATTGGTTGATTCTTGTATGTGCCCTCACTGAGGTTTGAACCCACAACCTTAGCACATCAGCACAATGCTCTAACCATCTAAGCTACCTGGCCAGTGCTCAGTATTATTAATTTACTCATTCTAGCTTTTGATCATCTCAGAATTAAAAGCATTTTGATGTTGGTGTATCTGTTCCCAGAACCAAGCAAATCAAGTGTGGAAAGGGATAAATATTTATATAACATGCACAATATCAAGTACTGAGCCTGGGAACCAATAGACATGGGATCATCTCCTTATGTGATAGTTTTATAGTGTAACAGTAGTAAGTCATTCAACTATTATAGGCCTTTGGATTCGCTGGTAATTGAGGAGTTTGAGAAATCACTCATCAATAGGAGGTTCAGGTCTCAAAATATTCATGATTCTCTTCTCTCTGTATTTTTTTGTCAGTATTGGAGGCCCGGTGCATGAAAATTTGTGCACTGTGGGGGGGGCAAAGGGAGGAGGAGAATCTCCTCAGCCTAGCCTGCCCCCTCTCACAGTCCAGGAGCCCTCAAGGAATGTTCTATTGATGGCTTAGGGCTCGGAATGTTCTATTGATGGCAGACCACGGCTCTGGAGCCACATACGTGCGGCTCTTTGGACTTTTAAGTGTGGTGTGGCATTAGAACCACTTCAAAATAGACTCAACCAGGCCGAAAACTGACTTCAGCACATGGGCCATGAAGTTACATTTGCACTTGTACATGCGTGCCCATGCATGGTATTTTGTGGAAGAGCCACACCCAAGAGGCCAAAGAGCCCCATGTGGCTCACAAGCCACGGTTTGCCGACCACTAGCTTAGGGAGAACGGGTGTAAGCCACAGTCTGGCCTCCCTCTATGGGAAGCAACCGGACTGATCAGAGAAGGGTGATGTCCCCATCACACTGCTGCTGCTGCCACTGCCAGCCATAGCAGCAGCTGCCTGAGCCTTGGCCTGGCCCTCGCAGCAGCATCTGCTGAAGCTTTATCTGGAAGAATATTCAGAAGACGTCCAGTCTAATTAGCATATTACCTTTTTATTAGTATAGATAATTGAAGATTATTATGCACACGTTAGAGATTATAAATTAAGAGATATTAAAATTTAGCTCATTTGTTTAGTATGATAATGGTGTATTTTTAAGCAGTCTTGTCATGAGAAACTTTTTCTTCTGTTTTTAGTGTCTCCTCTCATTTTGAGAGTCACATTTTTTTCCAAAGAAAATGTAAGCTCAGTAAATTCACACAAAATCATTAAATATGTCTGGCCAGTCCACATTGAGGCATTGTCATTGTTACCCTGTTCGCCTTCCCCCCCCCCAAAAAAAAAAAGAAGAACCACTCTGACAGTAGTAGAGAAGTTGGCAAAATAACTTATGGTATAAATACATAATTGATTTTGAAATAATTTGTGAAAAAATGTACAGGTATTTAGAATCCTATTAGGCTTTGGGTAGTGTTTTTAATAACTTGAGAAGAGGTAGAAATTAGCATATTTGCAAAAGCAATTCATGAAATAAGATGTGTAATATAATTACAGATTTGTTTAAAATACATATGTATATATAAATATATGCATGAAAAAATTAGGAAGAGCATCACCAAAATGTTTATATTGGTTATTTCTGGGTGCTAAAATCATATAAGATTTTTCTTCTTTGTGTTTTTCTGTATTTCCTAAATGTTCTAAAATAAGTATGTATCTAGTATATAATCAGAAGTAAAACAGATGATATATATATATATATATATATATATATATATATATAACTTTAAAGATGAATTTTATTTTTTTGGTTCTCCTAAAATTCATATAATAAAAGATCTGAGTAATAATAATTTGGGAGTTCTTATTTTGGTAATGTTTATACTGATTTTATGTTCTTGGGGAATAAAGGTATCCTTGGTGATATGTATTAAACTGCTGCTTTGAATCTGTTTAACTAATTTGATCCATTTTTTAAAATTTCTTACAGGCTAAAGTGATGGCCAATGAGGAGAAAAAATTCCAGCAACATATTCAGGCCCAACAGAAGAAAGAACTGAATAGCTTTTTGGAGTCCCAGAAGAGAGAATACAAACTTCGAAAAGAACAGCTTAAGGAGGTACTTGTTTTATAAAAATTGTCAAGGCAATTATCTGATTGTTAATTATATCCAATCTGATCAACTCATAGAAGCATTAGGATAAATTTTTCTTTTAATTTTTTTTCTTTAATTACAGTTGACATTCAAGATTATATTAGTTTCAGGTATATAGCATAGTGATTAGACATTTATATAAATTACTAGAGCCCCAGTGCATGAAATTCGTGCACTTGGGGTGGGGGGGTCCCTCAGCCTGGCCTGCGCCTTCTAGCAGTCTGGGAGCCACGGGAGGATGTCCGACTGATGGCTTAGTGGGCCTAAGCCGTCAGCCAGACATCCTTAGCATTGTCAAGAGGTGGGAGAGGCTCCCACCACTGCCGCTGTGTATGCCAGCCATGAGTCCGGCTTCTGGCTGAGTGGCGCTCCCCTTGTGGGAGCTCTTACCACGAGGGGGCAGCTCCTGCGTTGAGTGTCTGCCCCCTGGTGGTCAGCACACATCATAGTGACCAGTCATTCCATCACTTGGTCATTTGCATATTAGCCTTTAATTATGTAGGATATGCTGTAGATGAGGCCCCCCCAGAACCATAAGATATGCAAAAAATTCACTGTTAACTCATTCTCGAATTGCCCCCCCTGTGGGGCATGTGCTGCACTTGAAGAACCACTGGACTTTACACTTTTCCTCTCTGAGCTTCATTTCTGAATACATATGCATATACCATGGGACTTGTAATCTCTTCTCCACCTACCTCACTGGGTTGTCAAGCGGAGGTTCTGAGCTAATAAACCTAGAAATGTTTCATCAAGTAAATGATGTCTAAACAGGAAGGGATTGTTATTTTTAAGCCCATGGGTACCCTCGCAAGTAGCAGGTGCTGATTAGAGGATGGGGGCATGATTGTTTCCCAGGACTGTAGCTTTGGAAGCTTTGCAAAGGGTTTCTGCAGGCCTCAGAGGGGCAAGTTCTGGCCAGCAACCCTGTAATGGTGGTCCACTCTGGAGATGCTGGCAGGGGTCAGGGAGTTAGGGGGCCATACGTGGGGGGAGAGGCCGAAGGGGGAGTAATTGTCAAACCTTCTCACGTGGCTTATACTTTAAATTTTACGTGGCTGTTTCGCAGCTGTACCTACTCAGGGTAGGGCTCCAATTTCCTGGAGCTAGGTGGGGGCCGGGCCAGAGTGGAGCCAGGTGAGTTAGGAGGGCAGGTGTAGCTGCGCCCCCAGTGAGGTTCAGCGTGCTGTGCTTCCGCTGTGGAGACAGCACTGCTGCTGTCGTGGGCAGGGAAGGGTCTGACCCTGGGGGGACGCTCAGGCCTGCCTCCACCCGGGTCTGGAGTTGTAGGCAGGAGAGGTGTGCCTGGCCCCAGTGGAGGGGGCCTGGCAGTGGTGGGCAGCGGGCCACGGGCCCCAGGTGCCTCAGGGGTGCTGACGAGTGGTCGCTGGCATGCTATTGTTGTGGGCGCCCCTGGAGGGGGTGGCGGGGAAGAGATCAGGAGTTGGAGATGCGGGCTGCAGCTGCCCTCCAGCCCTCGAGGCTGGGTCTTCTCCCCATCCTGTCAGCCTTCCCATCCCCTGGGGGTGCAGAGGTTGGGGTAGGGTGTCCGTCCGTCCCCCCGGGGTGCAGGGGCTGGGGTAGGGTGTCTGTGCAGGGGGATTGGAAGAGCTGGCCATGGCCGCTTTCTCTTCCTTCTTCGCAGTCCGGACTCCTGTCAGGCGCTCTCCTCAGAACCCTGGGACTTGGCTCCAGCTGCCAGCCCCCTGCTGCACGCACATCAATATGCACATTGGTTGTTACCTCTTTATATGTATAGATTATATGTATCGATGAAGTGATCTCCTTAATAAATCTAATGTTCACCTGGCACCATACATAATTAGAACAACATTATTGACTATATTCCCTATGCAGAATAAAGTTTTCTTTTGTTGCTTGTGTTCACTAAATGTGTATATCAGTTCAAATAAAGACATTGATTATTATAATCAATTACTCATCAATGAAATAAGTTGATTAGGATCTAAAAAGAAACATCTGAAAATATAATTTTAATAGCTTTCCTATGCATTTATTAAGTAACTGACTTGTCCCATAGTGTGCATACACATACACCCTTAAATTGAGAGCTACTAATTTATGTGCTTTTTATTTTTATGTTGTTTGACTATTTTATGAACTAAAGTTGCAAAGAATTGGTCTCTTTCTTGATAATGGGAAAGATCATAAGATTAGTAATCTCTGAAAAATCATTTTATACCTAGGAAAGGTGGCTGATTTATATTTATTTTTAACCTAAAAGGCATATGGTGGTGTCTTTTAGATTGAAAATATACTAGTGTTAATTAGCATTGTAGGGTTTCCTTCTTTGAGTATATTATCAATGCTCTCATCTTGCCCAATAAAATGCTTTGTCATTTATTAGTTTATGAGGTGTTACTTAAAATGCTGTAGAAAAACATTGGTTTTAGTTGTTCAGAGGTTATTAATACTAAATTAAATGCCATTCATGAGGAAGATCACTGTTCTTCCATGGTTTTGTTGATTTTTCTATTTAACTTTTAATTCTTGTATATTGAATCTATCCATAATTTTTTAGAAAAAACTTAATATTTAGACTGTCAAAAACCAAGAAGTGAAACATAACTGTATTTTAGCCCTAATTTTAATTCAGATATTATTTTTACCTGAAATCATTGCCTTCTTTCACAAAAAGATCTAAAGAAAGGTGTGTTTTACTTTATTTACCAGTCATTTTGTGTTTTTGAAGCTGGAAACCATCATAAATTTAGCTGTGCAGAGTTAAAAGGGTATTCATGCTTTCTGGTGTACATTTCTCTTTCCTGTCCTACTTCATGGATAACTCAAGGAAAGGGAAAATATTACCTACCTCCTTAAGGTCATTGCCCTGCCTATGTATTAGGACATAGATAAAATACTTTTATTTAAATACAGAGCCCTGGTGCATGGATTCGGGCACTGGTGGGGTCCCATGGCCTCTCACACTCTGGGACCCCTCAGGATGTCAGCTGGTTTGGCCTGATCCTCGCAGACCAACCTGAGGGGACCCCACCAGTGCATAATCAGGGTCAGGGAAGAATCACTGGAGGGCTCTAGGTTGTATCTGGCCTGTCTGGCAGGACCCCAACAGCAAGCTACCCTACCAATCAGAGTCTGCCACCTGGTGGTCAGTGTTCATCATAGCGACTCATCAAACGGTCCAACAACAGACACTTAGCATAATAGGCTTTTATTATATAGAATATCAGATACCAAAAGGTACATTCATGTAGTTAACTTTTATGTATTTTGAACTCAGTAGTTGTTTTTTTTTTTTTATGTTGCTAGGAACTGAATGAAAACCAGAGCACTCCAAAAAAAGAAAAACAGGAATGGCTTTCAAAGCAGAAGGAGAATATACAGCATTTCCAAGCAGAAGAAGAGGCTAATCTTCTTCGACGTCAGAGACAATACCTAGAGCTGGAGTGCCGCCGCTTCAAGAGAAGAATGCTACTTGGACGCCATAACTTAGAGCAGGATCTTGTCAGGGAGGTACGTTTAAATGATGTGAAATTAGGATAAAAAAATGTGTACACTTTTTGAATGATTATTAATTCCAATGACTTAAATCTGAAAAGAAAAAAACATTAATTGAGCTATCAGCTGTAAAGTATGTATACATTTTTTGGGACACCCTATATGTCACTCACATCCCTGCCTCAAGGCCTTTGGACTTATACTTCCCTCTGCCTAAGTCCTTCTTTCCCTGATCTCCATGTGACTTGCTTTCTCCCTTCCTTCTTACCTCTCTTCAAATGTCTCTTCCTCAGAAATACCTTCCTTGATTGCAAAAGCCTTCTCCCTTCTTTAAATGTTTTTCTTTGTACTTCTCTCTCTCACATACATGCACTTTTTTGGAGGAAGTCTCTCTTCCCCACTAGAATGGAAATTACATGAAGTCACAGGCCCTGACCAGGTAATTCAGTTGATTAGAGTGTCATCTCGATATGCTAAGATTGACGTTTCGATCCTTGGTCAGGGCACATATAAGCATCAACCAATGAATGCATAAACAAGTAGAACAACAAATCATTGTTTCTCCCTCGCGCTCACTTTCTCCCTCTTTCCCTCTCTCCCCTCTGTCCCCTTTCCTTTTTCTAAAATCATTAAGTTTTTTTGTTTTTCAAAAAGAAGTTATATTAAGTCACAGATTCCATTTGGGTCTTTATATGCTTAGTATCTGACCCATAGTAGGCATTCAATAAATATTATATTTAATCAATACTAAATCCATGAATAAAAGAAATATTAGCTTTTAAATATGAGGAAATTAAAGTGTCTTAATAATAACTTTGTCTTAATCTTATTTCAAAAAATAATATTAATGAATAGTAAATGACAAGGATAAAGAAATTTGTGCTACTAATTGTCCATTTACTACAGTAAAAGTCATAAAACTCTTAATATTTACTATGCAGCCATTATTGAACTTTGTTTTTACATTTCTTTTCTGGTTATTCTGTTTCTTAAGATCTTTTTTCCTGCCATTATACAGCAATAAATTGTACCTTTTGTCTTGTTTTTTGGATTAGGAGTTAAATAAAAGGCAGACCCAAAAGGACTTAGAGCATGCCATGCTACTGCGACAACATGAATCCATGCAAGAACTGGAGTTTCGTCACCTCAACACAATTCAGAAAATGCGCTGTGAGTTGATCAGATTGCAACATCAAACTGAGCTCACTAACCAGCTGGAATATAATAAGCGAAGAGAACGGGAACTAAGGCGAAAGCATGTCATGGAGGTTCGACAGCAGCCTAAGAGCCTGAAGGTACTTTAGCTTAAGCTTGACAGTGAAAAGAAAAAAAGACATCCACGTAAACAGTAAAGGTCTAAGATGTCTATCATAAAAAAATCGAATAAACTCTTTTTCTTTTTATTTGAAGCATATTTGGTTAGTTTTAATGTGCAGTGTTTGTAGCTACAAACTTTTGCTTATGTATTTCTCACCAACTACCAAAAATTAAGTGCCATCAATAAGAATCAAAATTCGTATTTTAAATGAACCCAAATGTTCAGTGCTATATTACATGTTAACATGCTAACTAACCTGTTGGCTTTTTTCTCTGTTCTGATTAATTCAGAATTGGAATCTTATTTGCTCTAAATGTGATTTGTACCCTAAAAAAAAATGGTTCCTAATTAGTACAGAAGCCAGTGAATAAAATAGTAAGCCTTTTAAACTCCTCTCCCTTCATTGTCTGTGCACAGCTGAAGAAAAATATTGGAATTATAACAGAACTTTAATTTTTATACTTGCTTTGAATAGAGGAATTCATTCACATGATATAAAATTTGAAAGATACCAAAGTGTACTATAAAGTTAAAGTTTTCCCTTTGTCCCACCAGCCACCTGGTTCAACCCCCTTCACCAGAGTCAACCAGAGTTAACAATTCCAAGAAATTTTCAAGGATATAACTTATAATAGATATTTGAAGGAGTATAGTCACATGAATCTTAATAAACTAGACTACACAATATATAGGCTGTCATTCATATCAGTACCTTTCTCCCTCTTACCCCATCCTCTCCTGCCTTCCCTCTGAGGTTTGATGGTCTGATCAATGCTTCTCTGTCTCCGGATCTGTTTTTGTTCATTATATTCCACAAATGATTGAGATCATGTGATATTTATCTTTCTCTGACTGACTTATTTCACTTAGCATAATGCTTCCAGGTCCATCCATGCTGTTGCAAATGGTAGGAGTTCCTTCCTTTTTACAGCAGCGTAGTATTCCATTGTGTAGATGTACCAGTTTTTTAATCCATTCATCTGCTGATGGGCATTTAGGCTATTTCCAAATCTTATCTATTGTAAATTGTGCTGCTATGAACATAGGGGGTGTATATATATATATATCCTTTCTGATTGGTGTTTCTAGTTTCTTAGGATATATTCCTAGAAGTGGAATCACTGGGTCAAATTGAAGTTCCATATTTTTTAGTTTTTTTGAGGAAACTCCATACTGTTCTCCAAAGTTATCTCCTCCTTTGCTCCATAACTTTTGTTTGACCTTTGAAAGATTAGTTAACTCAGCTAATTTCAAGTAAACTGACTTGCAAGTTTTTACTTGTAGTGTTGTTAAAGAGTAAACTATTCTTAAGTGTGTTTCTACCTAATTTATTCCCTGAAGGAAAATTGTAATAACAATATTAGTTACTAATACCCTTTTTTATGGTGTCTGTCCCAGACCATGTAGTTGGAGTTGAGATTGTGATTAGAAGAAATTGGAACAAAGTGTCTCATATAAGGAATAGAATAAATGTGCTCATTTTCTACCTGAGTGATCTGATAAAATACTGTCTATGTTTTAATATTTACTATACTTATTGCTTGAGAAGAAATTTAATTTTCTGTCATCAATATACACAGTAATCAAAACTAATTTCAATATTCAAGTAACTAAAATTACTAGCATAATATTGAGTATTGCTTGAAATACTGTCATAAATGATGTTGTTGGTATTCTAATTTAAATTAGAATTTTGTTATTAAAATGTATAGAATTTAGTGATCTGGCCCAGTAACCAAATGCAAAAGTATCTGTAGCCTTATGATTTCATCTCTTTAGTTTTTCTTTTCCTTTTTCTTAGTAGCTTTTGTTTTTATGTAAACATAAGGTATGCCAAATGTTATATGTTAAAAATTAAATACATTATTTTTTTCTTCCCAGTCTAAAGAACTCCAAATAAAAAAGCAGTTTCAGGACACCTGCAAAATCCAAACCAGACAGTACAAAGCATTAAGAAATCACCTACTGGAGACTACACCAAAGAGTGAGCACAAAGCTGTTCTGAAACGGCTCAAGGAGGAGCAGACCCGGAAGTTAGCCATCTTGGCTGAGCAGTATGACCACAGCATTAATGAAATGCTATCCACACAAGCCGTGAGTTTGTTTTATTGAGACAAAACAATTTAGTGCCCCCATCCTTCTACACCTGATTAAAATACTAGTTGGAAGTGATAGCTCTCCTGCAGTTTGGGCTCTCAGCATTACGTGGAAGCAGGTATGATATATATAGAATTTTCATTGGTCTTTTTAGACACAAAGTTCTAAAGAGGCTTTTTGCTAGTACCTCTCAGGTCCTTAGTACATATTCCAAAAGCAGCAGCACCCTGGCCGGTGTGGCTTGGTTGGAACATTGTCCCATACACCAATAGGTGGCGGGCTCGATTCTTACTCAGTAACATATCCAGATTGTATAATAGGTTTGATCCCCAGTTGGAGTACGTATAAGAGGCAATTGACCTGTCTTTCTCTTTCACATTGATGTTTCTTTTTCTCTCTCTTTTCCTCTCTATAAAAAAATCAATAAAATTAAAAAACTAAAAAAGATTAGAGCAGCAACTTTGCTAAGCAGTGGGCAAAAAGTACTATATTGCCCAGCCAGTATGGTTCAGTGGTTGAGCATTGACCCATGCACCAGGAGGTCAATGGTCCGATTCCTGGTCTGGGCACATTTCCATATTGGAATCCAAGTGGTCACATTTGAATGCATCTATAATAATAAAAGCATAATCTGCTAATTAGACCAGACAACCCACCGACCTTCCGGACATCATTCCAACAAAACCACGGCGGTGGGGACCGAGGCAGAGGTGGTTAGGGGTGATCAGGCAGGCAAACGGTTAGGAGCTAGCAGTCCCAGTTGAGAGAGGTATGTCTGACTACCGTTTTAGGCTCAATTTCGCAGGAGTCCCTGTGGGATTGGGCCTAAACCGGCAGTTGATGTCCCCCAAAGAGTCACAGATTGCAAGAGATGCAGGCCCAGCTGAGGGACCTCCCCAACCTTTGCATAAGTATTGTGCACTGGGCCTCTAGTATAAAATATTTCCTATATAAGTTTTGTAAATTTTTCTTAAAGGGCCAGATAGTAGATATTTTAGGCTTTGTGGGCCAGAAGGCAAGATTGAGGATATTGTGTGGATACTTAAATAGCCATTTAAAATGTAATCATTTCAGTCCTGCTAGTATGGCTCAGTGGTTGAGTGTTAACCCAGGAACCAGGAGTTCTTGGTTCAGTTCCCATTTAGGGAATATGCCTATGTTGTGGACTTGATCTCCAAAAAGGGACGTGCAGGAGGCAGCTGATCAATGATTCTTTCTCATTATTGATGTTTCTCTCTCCCTCTCCCTTCCTCTCTGAAATCAATAAAAATTTATTTAAAAAGGAAAAAATTAACCATTTCAGAATGTAAATTAGTGGACTATTTTAAATCCACCATTCTTAATTAGTGGACTATTTAAGCACACACGCAGTTTGACCCTTAGGCTATAGTTGGCTGGTCCCTGTTCTGTAGTTATTTCCATTTGAGATAAGAAATTCAGTCTCCTATTATCAGAGTCTAAGTTTTTCTTAAGAAAAATATGCTTATTTAGGATTCCTCCAAAATGGTTTTTGACAGCTTTATCTTCATAATGCCATCATTAGTTACTGTACCTTCCTTTTTCAGAGATGTTTACTCTAAAATAGAAGAGAGGACAATTATTTATCTACAAAAGAGTTGTCTGTTTTCTCTGAGACTCCTTCTTTCCTTAAGTCATAAATAGATAGCTCACAGTAAGAGACATGTTTTCTTTCCCTCTTTTAGCTGCGTTTAGATGAAGCACAGGAAGCAGAGTGCCAGGTTTTGAAGATGCAGCTGCAACAGGAACTGGAGCTGTTGAATGCATATCAGAGCAAAATCAAGATGCAAGCTGAGGCACAACACGATCGAGAGCTTCGGGAGCTTGAACAACGGGTCTCCCTACGAAGGGCACTATTAGAACAAAAGGTATATGCTTTCCTCAGAAACATTTTATAAATATATTTTCATATCGCCAGAGGTAGCAGACTATTTTCACAATATCATATTTTCTTAATTCTAGTTTTGGTAGTGTTTTTTTTATTTTATTTAAAATATTGACTCAAAATTTGTGCACGGGGCGGGGGGGGGGTGGGGTGGGAGGGAGTCCCTCAGCCTGGCCTGCACCCTCTCACAGTCTGGGAGCCCTTAGGGGTGTCCAATTGATGGCTTAGGCCCACTCTCCTTAGCCATCAGTAAGATATCCTTAGCGCTGCTGTGGAGGTGGGAGAGGCTCCTGGCTCCGCTGTTGCACTCCCCCGCCATGAGCCTGGCTTCTGACTGAGCAGCACTCCCCCTGTGGGTGCACACTGACCACCAGGGTGCAGCTCCTGCGTTTTGTGTCTGCCCCCTGGTGGTCAGTGTGCATCACAGTGATCGTTGGTTCTGCCCTTCCGTTGATTTACATATTAGCCTTTTATTATATATGATGAGTTCTAAACATTAAGGGACACCCTAACTGGTTTGGCTCAGTGGATAGAGTGTCAGCCTGTGGACTGAAGGGACCCAGGTTCAATTCCATCAAGGGCACATACCTGGTAAGGAGTGTGTAAGAGGCAGCCGATCACTGATTCTCTCTTATCATTGATGTTTCTATCTCTCTCTCCCTCTCCCTTCCTCTCGGAAATCAATAAAAACATATTTAAAGAAAAATAAGTAATTTAGAGGTACTAAACATCAAGGAGCCTATAATTAAGTAGTAATTGCTAGAAGAATTGTATGGGTTATGTGAAGACAGTTAAATTTTGAGAGAGTAGCTCTGGTTCTATGTTCTTCACTTTATTTTAACGTTTATTGATTTATTTTTGTTACTCCTCACCTGAGGAAATTTTACCATTGATTTTTTTAGAGAAAGTGGAAAGGAGGGGGAATCAGATAGAGAACATCAATATGAGAGAGACACAGCAATTGGTTGCCTACCGCACACACTTTGACCAGGTCCAGGGTTCAAGCCTGCAACTGAGGCACGATCCCTTGGCCAGGATTGAACCAAGGACCCTTCAATCCAAGGGCCAACGCTCTATCCACTGAGCCAAACCAGATAAGGCCCTCACTTCTTTTTTGTACTTAAGAAGGTTGGAGAAAACTTGAATAGTGAAGAAAAAGAACTAACAATTGCCTGGGAGAGGCAGGGACAAATGTTTAGGAATATTTACTTTTCTCATACATTCTGGGCCTGGATACAGACAGAAAGTAAAACCAATTCCAGGCAGGTGAAAACTCAGACTGAAAATGTTACTTCCACATGTACTTTTATTTATTTTTTTTACTTCTTTTTTGTCAGATATATTAGAGAATAGCAGTAGAATCAAGTAAGGTATGTAGGCTGAGTGTATATGTGTTTTGGGGAAAGGGTGATGGGCAGAAGATTTTGATGATAAAGAGAGGAAAGATAATGTGTTGTAAGAAGTAGTAGAATATCAGTTGTACCCATGATTCAGAACTATGTTCCAGAATTCCTGAGCCATAATCCCAATAGCTGATATAGTTTTAGGTCCATTAAATTAATATTTGCCTAATGGTTTTGCCTGTTAATAGTTGTCATTATTTCTGGACCATTGGCTCATAGATTTTCCTCTGTTTTGTGCAATTCTTGTGATAAAAATAGAATGCCTTAAGAAAACCACCTAAATAAGATGGCATAGCTGTCTTTACTGGCTTCTTGAAAGGTACTTGCTTCTAAAAATTTTCTCAATTATGTTTCTTATTCAAAATGGAAAGATAGAAACATGAAAATTTTGAGAAAAATCTAATTTGTCTCATCTACATATTTCATAAATGTAATTCCAACTTTCATATTTAAAATTCAATCCAAAATTCTATCTTTTACAGTTCAAAATTATCGCTGAGAGGGAAATTCCTTAAGGTATTCAGATATAGTGATGTAAGAAATGTTGGTACTGCCAAAACCGTTTGGCTCAGCAGTAGGGCGTCAGTCTGCAGACTGAAAGGTCCCCAGTTCGATTCTGGGCAAGGGCATGTACATTGGTTTCGGGCACATCCCCATAGGGGATGTGCAAGAGGCAGCTGGTCGATGTTTCTCTCTCATCGACATTTCTAACTCTCTATCTCTCTCCCTTCCTCTCTGTAAAAAATCAATAAAATATATATATATTTAAATAATTTAAAAAAAAGAAGAAGTAGGATTAAAAAAAAAATGTTGGTACTATTAAAGTACATATATTTGTATCTTTAGCTCCACCTAGTGGTTCAGAGTTAAACAGTGCTAAATATATGAACCAAAGCCTTACATGTTCCTAATAAAATGTGAGCATAAAACTGATACCTTTTAATGTGGCATTCTCATGTACCATTAATGCATTTTGGAAAGTAATTTGGAAGTACATATTGAACTTTGGAAATGTTAAATACTTAAGACTGAGAATTCCAAGGAAAAGAAATCCAAAATATAGTGGGAAATTAATGCATAAGTATGGTGATTATAGCATATTTTATATGTTTAATAGCCATTGATGATAATTGTGTTGATTTATTATTTTAATATAAGTTATTGCCTTTGCTTTTAAGAACTTGATTTTATGCATTTTATTATTTATTTATTTATTTATTTATTTATTTTAAATATATTTTATTGATTTTTTTACAGAGAGGAAGAGAGAAGGATAGAGAGTTAGAAACATCCATGAGAGAGAATCATGGATCAGCTGCCTCTTGCACACCCCCTACTGGAGATGTGCCCACAACCAAGGTACATGGCCTTGACCGGAATCGAACCTAGGACCCATCAGTCTGCAAGCCGACACTCTATCCACTAAGCCAAACCTGTTTCGGCTATTTATTTATTTTTAATTCTCACCTGAGGATATTTTTATTTATTTCCAGAGAGAGTAGAAGGGAGGGAAAAAGGAAAGAAAAACATCAACATTAGAGAAACACTTTGGTTGGCTGCTTCCCACATGTACCCCCTACCCGGGCTGGGGAATCTGCAACTGAGTTATATGCCCTTGACCTGGAGTCAAATCTAAGACCTTTTGATATGCGGGCTAACACTCTAACCACTGAGCAAAATCAGCCAGAGCTTGATTTTACATATTTCAGAAATATAAATTATATATGATTGCTACATCTTTTATTTTTTTAAAGATTTCTATTTTATAGCTGAGTAGCATTCATTGTGTAAATGTGCCACAGCTGCCTTCTTTTTTCTTCTTAAAATATTTTAATATTATTAATTCCAGAGAGAAGAAGGGAGAGGGAGAGATAGAAACATCAGTGATAAAGGAGTATCATTGATCGACTGTGTCCTGCACGCCCCCTACTAGGGATCGAGCCCTCAACCAGGGCATGTGCCCTGACCGGGAATCAAACTGATCTCCTGGTTCAAAGGTTGACATTCAACCTCTGAGCACACCGGATGGGCTGATTTTTAAATGTAAAAAATTATTTATTTTTACATCCATAAAATAACAAAAGTGAATTTCTTTATGATTCACTTAAAAACTGAATAATTATTGCTCCCTTAGTTTTTAAATTTTTAAATCAGCTTTCTTTTTGCTTCCTTCCTCCAACTCCTAACAGATTGAAGAAGAGATGTTGGCTTTGCAGAATGAACGCACAGAACGAATACGAAGCCTGCTGGAGCGTCAAGCCAGAGAAATTGAAGCTTTTGACTCTGAAAGTATGAGACTGGGTTTTAGTAACATGGTCCTTTCTAATCTCTCCCCTGAGGCATTCAGCCACAGCTACCCAGGAGCTTCTGGTTGGTCTCACAACCCTACTGGGGGTCCAGGACCTCACTGGGGTCATCCCATGGGTGGCCCACCACAAGCTTGGGGCCATCCGATGCAAGGTGGACCCCAGCCATGGGGTCACCCCTCAGGGCCAATGCAAGGGGTGCCCCGAGGTAGCAGTATGGGGGTCCGCAATAGCCCTCAGGCTCTGAGGCGGACAGCTTCTGGGGGACGGACGGAGCAGGGCATGAGCAGAAGCACGAGTGTCACCTCACAGATCTCCAATGGGTCACATCTGTCTTATACATAGCTTAATAGTTGAAAGTGGCAATTCTGCTGGAGCTGTCTGCCAAAAGAAACTGCCTACAGACATCGTCACAGCAGCCTCCTCACTTGGGTACTACAGTGTGGAAGCTGAATGCATATGGTATATTTTATTCATTTTTTAAAGCGTTCTGTTTTGTGTTTACTAATTTGGATGTCATAGTATTTGGCTGCCAGGTTTTGTTTTTTTGTTTTTAACTTTTGGAGAAATTTAAAAAGAGGAATTGATATGTATGTGTGAGAGTGTGTGTGCGCGCATGCACACGCACACACACACACACGCACACGCACACACATATCATGTGTGTGGTAAAAATTGGCTAGATAGGGGGTATTTTTTGAAGACTGCAAATATATAATACAGCAAAATGGCTTAAGTCATCACTTTCGGGCTACTATATCCTAAGAAGTTTGTGAGAAGATCAAAGCCTTTCTCCATACCCCAAATTCTAATGAACCACTCACAGCAGGCAGCATATGCTAAAACAAGTTATTATGGAAACACATTTGTATCCCCTCACCAGTATATTTTCTTTATTACATTGATCTGACTTCTCAGCCTCATTTGGAGTAAAAAAGTGGAAAGCCGTGAACACTGAAGGGTTGCATTGACTTTTTCAGAGTGTAGGAAACAAATGAGTTCTTTTTCTGAATGCTGCATAGGCTTGTCAGTGATTTTTCTTCCCATTCATTTGTGCCTTCTTTGTGGCATGGTGAGATGGAGGTGCATCACAAGTTGTGTGGGAATTTCATCCAACAAACCTGTGAGCCTTCAAAGGGAAAGACCAGAAGTGTGAGAGAGGTCTCTGAAAGTTCATATGATAGGTGTGTTCAGCAGCAGAGTGAGAAGATGAAGCCTATATATCCTAATGTTTTGTTGCTTATACTGTGATATTTCATCCTAGCTAAGCTCTGTAACTCCCAAAACCCCAAGCAGTACTTTTTACTTTGTTTGTACAAAAACAAAGACGTATAGCCAATACACATCAAATGCCTGAGGTATTTGAATAATGCCATATTTGCAAACTGCCACCTTTTGGAATTCTCATCACACTACATAGACATTAATTTGATTACCCCCTTTTGGCTTATGGGATTTCCTGTTTACAAGTAGGATAGCCAATTATTTAAAGTTTAGTTGCCATAGTGAACCAGGAGTCACTGAGCCAATGACTTTACCAGCTGCTGATTAACCCTCACTACCACTGTAGATTTTGCTGCATATGCAGGTCCTCTTTTTTTCTTTCTTTTCTTTTTTAATTACTGTTTTTGTTGCTGCAATACCTTACAAACTTCTAGTTCCTTGAGACTTAGTGACCATTTGACATCATGTTAACATCATACAATAGGAAACCACTTCCTGAAGTCTCTAGCCTCTGCTAAATTACTACTGAAAAGGAACTAGCAGGTTTGGCAAATTAAGAAAAAAAGAAAAGTAAAATAAGTTATAGTGGTCAGGGAATCTCTTGACAAAAGCTAACCTTTTTTTTTTTCCAGAGAGGGGCGTGTTTTGTTTGTTTGTTTTGTTTTTCAATGAAGGATCAACCCAGTGCTGAAAGTCAGATGTTATTGGTATTCCATTGCCAGTGTGGAAATTTAGTTGAAGATGGATAGGGAGCTGTATTACTTGAAGAAAAAAAAATTTTCTTTCCAGTGACATATCAGAATTTCTACAAGCTATTGTTCTGCCTCCTCCCCAGTTGTCTTGAAGAACCCTTGCTGCTAACTCTGGGTCCTGCTTTTCATGTAATCAGAGTTTCCAGTCCCTCTCAATGATACTTTTTACCTAGGCCAGACTGATGACCAAATGTAATCTGTCACTTTTGAATCTTGGATTTTTTTCAATTTAAGTCTTCCCCAGGTATGTCAGTCCAGTCTCCATGGATCATCCCCTTTAGGAGTTTCTGGGATTCGTTTAAAGGTAACTGGAAGAAAAATTAATAGTTTAATGTAAATGTTTTAAAAGCCAGTATCACAATAGAATTAACACAATTTTAGGCAGTGTTTCAGGTAGCACTCTGATACATCATCCTCTTGGCCATCCTCAAGATCACCAGCTTTTAGATGAACAGGACATATACTTGTCATAGCTAATGAAAGGGGCTTTTAATTTTCTCCATATATTTTTTGCATTCAAGTATATAATATTTCAAACAAGTTGAAATATCTACTAATTTGGAGGAAAATTATAGAAGAGAGCTTTAGAATTAAAATGCCCAAAAATAAAATGGAATTTGATACTTAAAAGAAAATTTCTTATTAGCCCCTCTGTACTACTAGAAGTATAGAATAGAGAAACAGATCCATTTTGCACACAAAACTCTAAAATCCACACTACATCCAGTGACTTAGAATCAGTCAAATTGAATTACTGAGTTTGTGTGCAGAGCATTTGTACTTGTAAACTTGTGATTGCTGACTCCAAAGGTCTACCCAATCCGGCTTTGTATCTGATGTATCTGTGGGGCAATCAGTTTTAACCTGTAGGTCATGAGTATACCTGGATTATTCCATTACGTTAATTTTATTTTAAAAATATATAATTTGCAAAAATTCTAATTAATTGGTGTGTGTTTATAAGATCTAACTTCTGAGGAATCTCATACATGGTAGGAATCAGTAAAGAGTGAAGTTTGTAGCAGGAAACTCTGAAAAGTTTAAAGATTCTAAAGAAAGAAACAAGCACTTTCTAAATCAGTGTGCAAATGTCAATATTTGATCAAATTACTACCTCCTCCAAGAATTGGTGTTCACTCAGTACCTATGTGTTTAAGAAAGAAAAAAAAAAGTGGGAAATTTGTCCAGCATATCAGAAAGTTATTAATGCTATATCTGGTATCCAGAGCTTGGCAGTAAAAGTTTTCTTATGTTCACTGTATCTCCCTTTAGTTAACATTTTCAAAAGCAAAACCTCATATTTTTATAAATATTATTTCTAATTGGGTTCCCTTCCTTTTGCACATATTTTTCTCCTCTTATTAAAGTCAGATCTAATCCCAAATTACAGTTTCTTCATTATATAGTAATGTTAGCTGGAAAATGTTTATATTTTTATTCAGAGCTGCCCTTTTTTTTAGTCAATTCTGCCCCTAGGGATGAATAGTTCTACATTTAATGCCATCCCCTTAGGTATAATATGCTTGATTACTATAGGCCAAGGATTTATAGGGAAATTTAACTATTTAGTATAGTCATGATTTTCAACTGCCCAGACACCAGGTAAACACTATTTAGTACACTAAAAAAGCTGTCCTTGATCTTCCCTCCCACACCCACCTAATTTTCCTCATTCTCCTTTTGAAAATCAAAAACTCTATGAGTGTCTTTTTCAGACTGTAAGACAGACTTTAGTAACTTTCTACTTTCTTTAAGTGCTAAATGTCTGGCATTTTAAACTTTTATAAAATACATTGTGTTGGACACTGGAATAATACTGTTTATTTTCACCTGTGAAAAATGACTTTATTGTACTTGAAACACCTCCTTTGCATTTCTCCATTTGTGCCATTCACTAGTGGAAATAAATTGTATTATACCATGATCTACTGGCTTTTTAAGACTGTGTTAAATATGCACATTTTTGGTATAGCTATTATCATTTGTATGTATATATTGTATATACATATGAGTGTCTATGTGTGTTGTATAGGTAGATGGATGTAATTCATTCTGTACATTTCCATCAGGGCACTTAAGGTTCTGTTACTTTGTTTTGTTATTTCAAATCCTCAGTTAAGGCAAGAATGCATGTGTTTAAGAATGAGTACTCTGGGGTGATATTTATGAGAAGGTGGTCATTAGCTGCAGTCTTTTCTCTTTTAATCCCCTTAACATTTGTGTGAGTGGAAAGAAAGTTAAGTAAAATGTGGAACCATACGTTGCACAAACAGTAAAATAGTGCTGGGGAAGGAGCCATTTAGTGTTTCTATGAAGTTTGTGTCTCGAGGCAGTAAAGACAAGTGACGCAGAGAGAAGTGAACCATGGAAATTAAAAACACTGTTGGTGATTCCTCTGCAAAGATAGAAGAACCAATAAATCACACGATCTTTATGTGCAGTCTACATATTTCTTAGAAGTGATGTCATTTATCCCCTTACTCTTTTTACTTCATTAATATCAATAATAATAAATTTTGCTAAGGACCAAAACAGCCAAAAAAAGAATTACTGCTGAAGCATCTAAGTTTCTCCTAAACCCATGGTTGGCAAACTGCAGCTCGCGAGCCACATGCGGCTCTTTGGCCCCTTGAGTGTGGCTCTTCCACAGAATACCACGGCCTGGGCGAGTCTATTTTGAAGAAGTGGTGTTAGAAGAAGTATAAGTTTAAAAAACTTCGCTCTCAAAAAATAAATTTCAATCGTAGTACTGTTGATATTTGGCTCTCTTGACTAATGAGTTTGCCGACCGCTGTACTAAACTATAAAATCAATAGGAAATGGCCACTGGGAGAGAAGGATATAGCATTGGCATGGGGCTTTCTCCCTTTAGCTGCCTCTTCTTACTTGCTAATAGTAAGTTCTTTGTGTACTTTCCATCCCTTCTTTGCCACTATTCAAGCAGAGATTTGGCTCAACACAGCAACCCTTTCCTAGGAGGTGTATGGTCTTTTGTTTTGTCCCATGCTCACAATGTGAAGTGTCTAGTATGTGTTCAAGTCAGAAAATAATACATTTAAGGTATATAAGTAGGAATCTTCTATAATGATGGAAGAAGAGGTTTTTATTTCTTAGATAGAAAACTGCCTTCTCTAAGGAACAAAGCCAAAACTTGGACTGTCATCTTTGAGCTGCTTATCAAAATACAGACCATCATTAAAGACAATTTCTCTATTTTGTTTTCCCTCATCTAACATGATAGATAGTGCCCTAACCAGGTTCTAGCATTGCCTTTGAAAAGGCAGTCACTCTTAGTTGTTAAAAACTGGAAAATTCCCATCCTCAGATCCTTAAAAGAAGGAAGAGTGTGCTGTACACTTAGCAGACTTG